CAGAAGCAATTTTAGCGCGTTATAAAATCCATATTAAAAAAATGTTCATTACTTGAGAAAAAACAAATCTCAGTTTTTTTTTATTATAGCGCCCATATGAAAAAAGTGAGCAAGTGCGTTGGAAGCACTAACTATTTTTCATTTTCTTTTCAAGGTGCCTTTGATGAATATTAAACACAGTAGCTGAAGTAGGGACACTCTCAATGTGTCTGTGTGTGATGCAGAGAGAGAGAGAAAAAAATAAACGACTATATTGATCTCATCAATATTCTCACGGTACAAATTTTCATAGAAAGAGCAGAAATGCCGGCTTATAGGCAATCCAACGTAATTCTGAAAGCAACTGATGATAAAATTAAAAAATAGATCACGATTCAAAGAAATCTTTGTTTTCCCTTCATATAAACCAACATACTAAATACTATGATAACCGTTTGAGCTTGTTTGCTTCAGTTTCATTGCATATTTTGCTCATCAAACTGTATAGAAAACATTTAAACAGATAGCCTAATTTTTTTTCTAATGCATGAGTTGGTTTTCTTTGATTGCTTTCAGTTTGAATCGGAAATTTTTTTCATATCTTAAGAACAAAATTTCGGTAAATGACATGAAAAAACAACGAAATAGAAATCCAATAGATATGTAGTAAAAAAGTATGTAGGGTTTGATGGAGTATATATAAATGTACATTTGAATCGAAGAGTAGGAAACGAGTACAATTGTACCCGACGACACTCTACCCACGTTCTTACTGTGTCATGTGTTCAACAAAATATTTCTTATTTCTTCAAAAATTTATTCAAGGTCCTTTGTTTTAATCTATAGAATATCAGAGTCACTAGCAAGTTAATGATATATTTAGTTCAACTAACCAGCAGGATTTCTTCATAGAACAGTTAATAATTAGAATTTTTGTAATAAAATCAGTGAAAAGTATATTTTCGAAAATTAAGCTCTGAAAAACATTTGTTAGCTTGCTGCTAAAATAAGCAATTATATACTTTTTAGGACATTGATTAATGATTATGAGTGAGTTTCGGTTTTACTCCTGCTACTGATACTTGATTTTTCATTTGAAATGAAAAAAACATACAGATAAAATTTGAATTTTCACACAGATTTCAAGACAGACACATATAATTGTTTTTAGCAAATACTGCATCAAGCAGTTCAAACTTATTATAATTAAGTTATCAAGTAGCTGATTTCAAAAACATAAGAGATAATTATACATTGTACGAGAAATCAGAGGGTAACAGTAAAAAAGAAGACATTAATAGTATTTTTAAACAATTTCTTGCTCATATGAAAGTTGCTACTTGTGAGGATTTGTTGAGATGGTTAAATAGATCATTTTCTACTAACATGTTAGCAATTGTAAGCATAGGCCATTTTTCTCTTATGAATGATCTCAAAAGTTTACATGTCCTTATCAAAATTATTGAACATTACTAATTTGCAAATCACCAGTTTTATATTCTCATATTCATCTGTACATTTTTTTTAAAAGATGTTTTATGTTGCGAAAAGCGCTATTGAAATCGTGATACTTTAGCTAAGTCACTTCTATTCTTTGATTCATATCACCGTTATGATCTGACTTGCGTTCTACACTGTTACCACAAGTGCGAGATCAAATTTTCTCTTTAGAACTTAAGCGCTCCAATCGAAGTTTATGATGAGTGTGTGAGTGATTGTTAAAAACTAGGTCGCCTTTGTTTCTTGTAATGAACGTCTTCAAGTGCAAGATCATATTTGTTTCTACGAGCCACATACTCACACTCCTTTCCAAAAACATAGAAAGAGTCATGAAACCATGCATCTTTCTCACGTTGACAACATCAATATTTATAACGGATCACAACTCCCGAGTTCCCAAGCTTAGATTCTTATCCTCAACCAACTTATTGCGACAAGAATTAGACGGTGAAACCGTGTGATCGACTAAATTTTAGAACAGACGGGACTTAATATAAATATCTTCTTGAAAATCTCACAAATATCTGCGTACTTATCAGTTCACACAAACAAGCAAACATGTCACAAAACATATAAAGCTTATGCTATTATTTATAATTCTATCTGAGACTTAGGATATAAAGAGTATATTGAATAAGGCTGAAGATACCTAGAAGTAAAAATCAAAATTATGCAAGAATTCTATTTAGAAATATCAAGATTGAGTGGTAATTCATCCGATCAAGGCATTTCACAAGTCTGAAATAAAGCTTCACAAAGATGTCTTAATACATAAGCAGCCTTTGATCACATTAGAGTGTTATAAGATTTTCCTCTTAGTACTCTAAAAAGCGAGAAATAAAGCTTTCATTTCTGTTATCTTTGAATTTCATTGTAGGAAGCATATTTTTAATCAAATTACATTGTTAAACGATAACAATCTGTCTGTAGATTTATTCAATGATTCTAGTACTCCTCCAATCCTATTATCGATTGTAAAAAGGATCATTTATTCCTTTATTTTCCCTTTATTTTTTAAAGATAAACAATACATTTACATTTATTTTTTAAAAAATAAAGTATTCCTTTATTTATTTATCTTTATTTTTTAAAAATAAAGCATCTATTTATCTTTATTTTTTAAGAGTAAAGGATTCATTTATCTTTATCCTTTATTATAAAGGAAAATAAAGATAAAGGGTCACCCCTATTATTCATCCATCTGTTTTGTTCTATCTCAATCAAACCTTAATTAAAAGATCTTAAAAAGATGTCTGTTGATGCATGAAAATGGTTATATGAATACGCAAACCATCAAAGGAAAATATTCAATAATAGATTGTTTCAAAGAAAATGATTTGCTTTTTTAATTTCAAACAAAAATGAACAATAAAGTTTTATTTGAATTAAATAGAAAAATCAAGAAAACAAACGATTGAATAGAATTTTCTTTTCTAGCAATGTATTTGTCTATTAACAAATCCATAATCGAATAGTTTCTGTTCCAATTAAATTCTCTGTAAAAGTACGTGAAAACATCGATGTCATCCATGTAATCCTTTCTTCTCTACTAGGAACATAATTATTCCATTGAGGAAATTTATATACGATCTTTAACGCTCGAAGATTTGTCAGTCCATTACTTAGATGACCGATATTCGATTGATTATCGATAACAATTTGAAGAACTGCACATTGTTTGGTTAATGATGATCGAAGAAATGTTAAACATTGTTCGTTATTGAAACAACAATTACGTCTTTGATAATGATAACTTTGTCAATCAAGTCGACGAATTGATTTACTAGTTAAATACACTGGTAATTGTTGAATAATTGATGAATTCTACGAAGCAATAGTTAATAAGTAAAGACGAGGTGATCAATTAATTACAGTTTGCAATTGAGATAAAACAATATGAGGATCAGTTTCAGAGTTACTTGATACTTGAAGAGATCTCAATTGATCAAGTCATGGAAAAGTCGACAAAAATTCATCGAAAAGTGGAAATATTAGTTCAAGATGTCGAATGTTGGGAAAACAAATATGAGATTGAAGGATATGATTTAATGTTGAATGATGTTGAATTAATTTTGTAACACGATCATACGAACAATAATCATTTTCATTAGGACATGTCGATTTAGCGATTTTTCGGCCTATAAGATAGAGAATTAAATTCGTTACAAACCTATGCCCTTCCTGAAGAGAGGTGGATAAATCCTTTGGAGAAAAACGCTTATGTAAAGCATTGAAGTTTCAAATAATACTCGTGTAGAGGAAGTATCTGCTAAATAAGTCGATTTTTTTGCCGCGTAGAGGAGGAATTTTTTCGGTCTATGAGATAAAGAACTAAGTTCTCTACAAACGTCGGCCCTTCCTGAAGGGAGACGGATAAATCTTCGAGTGAGAAAACTCACGAAAACAATTGAAATTCAAACAATACTCGATCAGAAGAAGAATTTCCTAAAAAGATCGATTTTTTTGCTACTTATGTGAGCTGCTTTTTCGGTTTAGTAGATGGAGAATTTAGTTCGCTGTGAACGTATGCCTTTCCTGTAGGGAGACAGATAAATCTTGGAGAGGAAGCGACTTTAGAAACGCATTGAGTAAGCAGTGTTTATTGCCGAAAAGAAGTGTTTGGTAAAGAACCTTCATTCGTTTGTTAGGTATATGAACGGTGTTTTCGATGCATAAGATAGGGATTTAAATTCTCGACGAAGCTCTTTAGTTGCGGAAGAGGGCTGGATCAATCTTGTAGGGGAAGCAGCTTAGTAAAGTCGGTGAGAATCGAGTAGTAATTGTTCAAGAGAAGTTGAATAGAATGTTGGATTTTATTTGTTATTATGATTATGTTATTGATCGATATCCGATATCGTCCGATGTAGAAAGTAGGTCGGCTTCGATGTAATTTATAGCAGCAGATCGATAACTTCAATGAAAACAAAAATTGAATTTTATTAGGATTTTTTTAATGATCATCCTTATTGCTAATCTTACGGTTTAATGATTTTTATTCACACGATAATTTTACAAGTGGGCAGGACCTGATTCTCCATCACTTTCATTAAACGAAACTCTAAATTCGATTCTAGTTTAGACTAGCTCTTGGAATCATAAAACTCTTTAACTGAGTAGTGCGATCTTCCTTAGTATAAGATTGAATCAGTAAGAAACATTTTAAATAGTTTTGGCACAAAAAGAGCTAGATATAATAGTAGCTGCATGTTATTAAAGGAGAAAATTCAAAAAGACATTGAAAAATTCTGAATGTCCGAGAAATGAAAAGTAAATAGTAACAAACACAGTCAAAAGACCTTATAAAAAGTATAAAAATATTGATTTGAATTGATGACCAACAGAAAATATCAAAAGCAATCATCATTGACTCGTGAAATTGTCTCATTTTTAGAATTGAATACTGTAAAGGTTGGTATTAGATCATACCCAGACTAAGAACTTTAGCCTGGCCTGATCTGCAGGCCAGGCCAAAAATTTTTTAGCCTGATCAGGCCAGGTGAAAATTTAAAAATTCAGCCAGGCTAGCAACTCTGATTTCTATTATCATCTAAAAATTGTTGAATAACACTACGATTTGCAAGTAATGGAGCTGATGATGGTTGAAAATGTAATACTTGATTAAGATCAATAAATGCTTCTGTTGGATGATTCATTTGTAAACCAACAATAGCACAAGTCTCAAGTACATGTACATGTGATGGATTAAAATGAAGAATAGCTGAAAATTGTATCCATGCTCATTGATAATAACTACGTTGTCGAAAACGATAACCAAGATTAAGTCGTGCATTATCATGTAATGGATTTTCATTAAGTACAAATTCAAATAATTTTGTTGCTTCTAATTTTGATTTATCATCACCTATATCCACATAAACACTAGCTTGAGCTATCCATAAATAATGTTGATAATTCATATCTATTGTACATATTCAAAATCAATTAATGCATTTTCAAAATCTTTATATTCATAGTGTAATAAACCTCGATTAACATATCACATGTCGTATAGAACGGCCTGTAAAAGGCTGTAAACGGCTCGAAAACAGCGAAAAACGGTTGCCATTACGATGATCGTTTACGATGTGTCGTACAACGGAGGAAAATGGCAAAAAACGATATCCGTTACGATGATCGTTGACGTACCAGCGGAAACGACTGTCGTTACGACCCCTGCTTTTTCGCCGTTTCACACTGTTTTTCATCGTATAAACATAAGGGTCCTCAAATCATCATCAGACACTCTGAAAAAATATAATCTATTGCTCACTGTTTGTTAAAAAAATTGATACTATTTTTCATCCTGATTCCTTTCACCATTTAATTCAATAGCAAGTATTTTAACTAAAAAAACATGTTTATTTATTTTTATTTCGATCTATATTAATCAAATATCCAATAGTTTCCTTTTTTTTTTATTTAGAAAATAGATCAATAAAATATTTAAAGACAAATATTTTATTTAAAAAGAAAAAATTGTTTTTTTATTTAGAATTTAAACCAATAAAATAACTCACAACAAGTAGTTTGTTTAAATAGAAATTTTTTTTTTAAATTTAAATCGATAAAATATTCCCATGTTGCGAAAGCCGGAGCAGTTTTAGCAGTAAACCGCGGTTAACCGCCGGTTTTAAATGACACCGCGGTTCTTTGCAATTTCACCGGTTAATCGCTATTTTATCCGGTGAAGAGAAACCAATGAAGGAACACAACGGAAAAAGAAATATGTATATATACATGTGCATGACGAGCTTTCGTTCATTTTGCTCGCTCGCACAATTAGATAAAATGGTAAAGTAATGAATAATGCATGCAGTAAAACTACATGCATTTTTACACATTATTTATTTTTATCGATTATTTCATTTTTTAAGCAGTAATTTTTTAACATTTATTTCTTTCTCATAGCATTTTAATATTCAATTCTATTTTAGATAAATTTTTTAATTTTATTTTTAGATAAATTTTTTTTACATTTTATTTTTTTAGATTATATTTTTAAACTTAAAAAAGGTTTTTTTTTGAAATAATATTTTTGACTTTCTTTATTATAATTTTTTTGTTCTTTTCTTATTGTAAATTTTTCGTTTTTTTACTATGTATGACTTTTTAAATTTGCTCATGTAGTTTTTTGTAAATCAATTTTTAATTCAAAAATAAATATTACATTCAAAGAAATATGGGCAAAACCTAGACGCGAACAGTACCGGTGAACTGCGGTTTATCGGAAGAAAAGCTAGTAATTTATAGTGATTTACCGCGGTTAACCGAATAAAACCGACGGTTTACCGGATGAGCCCGGCAGTTAACCAGGGTGTGGGTGTGGGTGTAGATTTAGAGAAGTCACCAGCCACACCCACACCTACACCCTTTGTAGCGACTTACAGTATTGTTAATATCATCTCTTTGGCATTCAGGTCGACCATGGCGGTTATATTGTGTGCTAGCAGCAATATCAGATTTGTTGTCATCGTAATTTTCATAGATCCTATGATCTTTGTTTTTGTTTTTGTTATTGATTGTTTCATCTTTATCATTTTGGACACACCCATGATTTTCATAATCGTCTAACAATGTCATTGAAAAAAATGAGAATATATCCTTGTTCACGAATACTCTAGTTATTACTGGACAGAAAAATCAGAAACATTAACTAAGATATTTGGAGTCAAATGAATGAAAGTGATTACTTTAGAGTCCATTTATATAAAGTGCTAAGTGAACCTCTAAAAAAGCGTTTGTTTTTTACTAACGGTTAATTGACATTTATTTTTTCGCTGTTGAGAGTACTACATACTTACAGATGAAAAACTTTCATCTTTTAATTGACCTTTTTCTCATTTAGTCATGTATTATTCGATCATAGTACCTTGGTGGTATAAATGCATTGTGAATTTCTTTTAAAAGCCTTTAATTTAATGTATTTCATACAACGAACTCCAATCATAATGAAATGATTTGAATAGACTACAAAGATAGAGCATGACATTCTGCCCATTTCTGTGTATTTATTTTCTTGTGTTTTGAATGAAACAAAAAAATTTCGAATAGTAAACAGTCCTCAGGGTTTAGTACTTTTGGATATTTCGGATAATAAGTATGACACCCATAATATGTTTTTTTTTATAAATCCAATATGAAAAATAATAGTGCATTTCAAACCAGGCTCTCATGTTTTACGAAATAACATGTAGGTTATGTTTACTGTGAGTTTTTCTTATAGATTATTTAAAGTCAAACAGATGTGGTAGATACGATTTTCATATGACTTAGGAAAGTCTTAATACTTATTACAGGGTGCTTTTGTATTTAAGAACGCAATTAGTACAATCTGCGCTTTTTCATGCTCTATAAATTTATATAGTTTCTAAAACATCTATTCTTTCCTAAGATTTCTTTGCATCAAACGATTGTAACAAGGTGACCATTTTGGAAATGCTATTATAGTCAATGTCGACCATTTAAATATTGAATTTTTAATCTAACTTCAATTTCAAAGCTAAGTAAATATCATCTTAAGAATCAGTACAAAATAAAAATACGTCATAACATACGCATTCTATCGAAAATAATTTTTTTATGGCAAATACATCTCGATGGGGAACCACGGAGGCAACTTGAGAGGGAGAGCACATCAATTGTTTCTTTAAAAAATTATTTTTGATGGCATGTACACGTATATGTTATGACCTAGTTTTATTTTGTGTTGATTCTTAATATGATATTTATTGAGCTCTGAAATTGAAGTTAGACTAAAAATTCAGCATTAAAATAGTCGAAAATTGACTATAATAACATTTTCAAAATTCTCATCTTGTTATCCTGTCGATGAAAAGAAATCTTAGAACAGAATAGATTTTTTAGAAACTATATAAATTTTTAGAGCATGAGAAATGTAGGTTTTGATCATAAGGTTTTTTTTAGTACTAATTGGATTCTTAAATACAAAAGCCCCCTACAAAAAGTATTAAAACTTTCCAATGTCAAATAAAAATTGGCTCTACCTTATCTGTTTGACCCTGGATAATCTTTGTTTTAATATTAGATTTACAAAAAGAGCATATTATGGATACCATACTTATTACCTGAAACACTCAAACATAGTAAACCTTCAGAATTGTTTAGTTTTCGAAAAAGTTTTTGTCACATTCAACAGACAACAAACTAAATACAAAGAAATGAGCAGAATTCCATGCTATCTTTGTAGTCTGTTGAAAGTAAAAGATGAAAGGGAGACAAATTTGCAATATTATCCGGTGGTGTCTTTTATGTTTTTGGGATATATGGGGTGTTTCGATTTCTACGTGTAGTTCTTTGTTATTGTTGATATCATCATATTACTGATAAAAAATAACAAATGAACCGTTTATATGATCGTATTGACTTCCGTAAGAAACCAGGTCTATCAAACATCAATCTAGATTATCTACACATCGTTTGTTGTTTTTATGAAACGATATAGATGATCTACACACTGGCTTGTCTTTCACTAATATTTGTAAAACCTAAAACAATGTCGTCATTGATTCTTAATTAACTATGGTTTCTTGGAAAAAATAAATACGAAAATATCAATTCAATCATCATGATGAATTACGGTTTATATCAGACTTACTATTCTGCATGATCATCGTTTGCTGATGTTTCACACACTGTATTCTTTTATTATTGACCGAGCGCAAATCCATTTTGTTTTGTTTATAATATTCGTAAGTTTCTGTATCGACAACATAGAATTGTAAAGTATTTTTCTCTGTAGCTTCATCTATCTTTTTCATTATAGATTTACTGGAATCTTGTTCAATGTAAGTTCCATTAATTTCTATGATTCGATCACTTTTCCGTAACCCAGCATTGCTGGCTGCTGAATCTGGAGCGACTTCTTGAATATATATACCAATATTATCATCTCCACTAACTACTTCGAAGCCAAATGTTTTGTTATCTTGATTTACATGAATGTCACAAGTGCGTGGTTGATGCTTAGGAAAATTGAAGAAATCAGCAGGCATACTATGTGGTGTAACGAGTATCTTGGCCGAACTAGAAATCATTGATATATCGTTTTTCTTTAATTCTTTATAGAATTTTTGTTCCACGACGAGTAAATCGACACGACCTTTCGTGTTCAACGCAGTTTTTATGATCGTTGTGGCTTGTTGATAATTCGCTTCAGATATATTCTTATTATTAACAGCAAGAATAGCATCACAGATTTTAAGACCACCTGCTGACGCTGGACTATTAGATTCAACCATACATATCACAGGAAGTGAACTAGAAGAGGGTGCAATATGAAAACCAATTCCTTTTCGATTACGCCAAAGACATAATTGACACAGACGTATATTGGCTTCACGAATGCGTAAGTCGACTTCATGCACTTTTGCGTTGCTTCTAAAATGGACTTTTGCTTCACTTGTTTTATCAGACATAATTTTTACATAAGCTTAACCATATCTCAAACCCATGTTGGGTAAAAAATAATTGTTTTTCAGTACTGCGTAAAATGTCAAAAAGTTTTGGATCAAGATCTGATATATTAATGTTTTTCTTCCGTTTCGTGTGCGCTGAGCAAAGAACTTACTTAGTGTCTGTTTAAGTGAATTTAAAATTGTTGTATGCAGGTTTGGTATAGTATTGATGTATTCTTCATATTGGCTTGTTCAAACGTAATGTTGTTACGTTTTTTACACACTTTTTTCAATCTCCTTGAAAACTTTGAGAGCTAGAAACTTCGTTTAAATGTCATTCACCGTAGCTCATCATATTCTATTTATGCTATAAAGGTGCGGATGTGAGCGTGTGTGAGGATAAAGAGCATATCCATAGCAATTCTCTTATTCATATTTACATTCGTCATTGGCACACATCACATGGGTATGGGCTAGGTTCTGTTGTGGGTGTGAGCTTGTGAATATGGGTGCGGCTGTGGGTGTATAAATGTCATTTGTTCGCTCACGCACAAGCTCAAACGCACGTTTACATACCCATACCTGCACCCTGATTTGATTTAATTATTTTGCTTAATTTCAACTATAGCAAAAATAACCTAATAGCAATATTTCAAATTTAATTGAAATAAAATAAACTTTATTTGAGCATTTACTTTATTTCATTTAAAAAGGATGTTGAATTTAAAGAGGACTAATTAATATATTGAAAATAAAGCTTGAATTAATTTCATTTAATTATTACTTTTTTGTGCTGATTAAAATAAACATAATCTAATAGAATTATTTATTTAAATTACAATAAAATGAAATTCACTGATGTAATGATTTTATTTACAAAAAAAAGATAAAACTAATTTAATGTTTTGATTATATTTCGATGAAGGTTAGAAGAATTATGCTATTTAAGAGAATTTTTCTATAGTGGAAAAAGAAAGATAATTAAAAAAACGGTGACAAATACTTTATCCTAAAAAATGGGTAAGAAAGTGTGCAAATCAATAGCATGAAATACAAACGTATGAGTGGGTTGCAAAAATCGACCATTTACGATACGTGGTCGTTACGCTTGAGGTATGAGTTCCGTACGTGAATTCCGCATGACAATAGTAGATGAATCGAGATGCAATGTTACACGCATACCGATGACTGTACCTATCGACAAGAGTATCGACTCAAATGAGTAATCACATGCGAAAGACATTGTTAAAAATTATCATTTTTCTATAGTGCTGTGAAAATGATCATCGAACCGAATAAAACCGTACCTTCATCATGACTAATTAGTTCTCCACGCATACTCTACCGTATCCTACACTGAACAATATATGGTAGGGAAACCCTTATATCTATAGTATTCACTTTGATCGCAACAGAACTTAATTGTACTGATCTCGAACTATGAAAGAAAGCAAAGTATTGAAAAATTAGATAGACTTTGCTGTGATTACGTGAGAAAGCAATAACAAATTGAATTGATAATATTCGCGATTACAAAATAAGATAAATCGAAATACTCACAACAAAATATTAATGCTTGACCATTCGTTTATCTTTATCTTAGTCTACTTAGCCGATAAAATATGTTACGTATAAATGAAGACGAACGTCCTTACATTATTACAAAATATAGAGTTCTAAAATTGTATTATTCAATTGAAAAAAGAAAGTCATCATATAATTGCGCAGATTTTTCAAACAATGTAAAAATGCATTCAGTTGCCTCACAATGATTTCAATCATAATTGCTTTTTTCTTTTATAGATTTACAAGAATTAGAAAAGAAAAAGAACTGAGTCATGTTGGAAAAATTCAACTTCGAATTTCGGTAGCTGTTTACGTTGTTTTGTTTATTGAAATGTATTACACTTATGCAACGTCATTTTTCGTGCACAGTAGAAAAACCCAAAGTGTATATTTATTTGTATGAAATAGTGATAGATGTAGGTCAGTCTAGTTTTGGCCATCAATAAAAGCTGAGAACTTTCTGGGTATGACTTTAGGGCATTGATTTTCAGGATCATAAGAAAATTACTGTCGAAAAGCGTGAATGTAGATTGCCAGCATGGGATGGGGGTGAAGATGGGATGAGTTGTTCTTCTCTTCGCCTATCCAACTACACCCACAAAGCCAAACCCAATGCTTCTGTTCCCTCGAATCGAATAAATAATATCTTAAAAATTGGTCATATGTACAACAAGAAAAACAACACCATGAGCTGGTTGATCGTGTTGAAAGATACTCGCACTTTTAAGCTCTTATTGTTTTAAGTTACTTAAAACAATGACCAAAATCGCTAAACTCTCAAATGAATATTGGTTTTCAACAATCCTAAATATGCCACGTATGCATATTTTTCTCTCCTCATTCAGATTTTGTCGTATTCATTTGTCATAGTTGAAAATCAAATCGAAATTGAATGATGTTTACATATTGACTGAAGAGGTTGTTAGCGTCCATGATGAATCACTTGGACGCTAAACGATGATTAAGATGCGCCTTCTAGTCTAATTGGCTTAGGACAACTGCCCGGATAGCAGAAGGTATGGGTTCGATTCCCATGAAGGTCATCTTTTTCATCGTTCTGTCACATAACATCAGTGACACTGCTTGTCTCTTTCGTTCTATACATATTAGAGCTAACAGAGGTAATGGTAGATATCATCGTAGAGTAATTGTGAGAGACTGATGGCAGGTACTATATACGTAGTTTATATCAATTAGCAAGACTCGAAATGAAAACATTGTAGAGCCAATAATTAATTATCAAGCTTCACGAGGATGAGTGTGGATGTGATTGGGGGAAAGTCCATACCCATATCCGTGCCCATACCCTTTTCCTTTTTGATAAAGTAATACTTATGATGCATGACTAAGAATCATCAATTTGCGCCTAATTAAGAAAGATTTTCATCGAAGTCAACAGCGAGATTTCAACCAGGTTTTATAACAATTTATAGTGGCAATTCAGTATTTATTGTGGATGTAGGATGTGTGTGCGTGAGGAGAAGACACTGACCAACAACATCCATATTTCAAAGCCGTCTTTATTTGCACATCGTTTTCTACATTTTTTTCATGTTTGTATTTAAAAATGCTTTTGCATCTTAACTAGTTTTTACCCGTTCGATATTTGATTCCATGTTAGAATGACAATTAGATGGTGCGTTGAAGGTATAAATTGGAGTTAGTTAAAACTAAAACTGAATGTGTAAGTTTTCTTAAATCGTTATGAGTAAATTTTTAAAAATTTCAAAACAAGAAAATTTGAAATAAAAGTCATTAAAATTGAGTTAAATAGTTTTGAATTTCGATTTCATGTTCGCAAATCAGAATACATGCTAGTAGTTGAAATCTTTTTTTTAAAATTCATGAAAGACTTAAGCAAAGATTATCCATGGCAAAGTGTGCTCCACGTCCACTTACAGCGGGATTTTCTGTCCCATTTGATGTTGAAAATGTAATATTGTCTAGACCTGAAAGTCCATTGAATGTTATATAAGACGCGGTGAACACTTGAAGAATAAAATTATTGATTGCTACTAATGCATTTGATTTATATCCAGCTACTGTTAACTGTAAATTATCTCTCCATGCTGATGCCATAATAGCGGAATACAAAGTTAAACTTTTATTGTTAAGACTGCTCATAGTCATTGGATCACCATAGCCATTGAATAATACAGTACTCATATTCACAGCAGCTGTGTAGTATCCACTTGTATTTGACATCGTCGTATGAATAAGTGCATTAGTCCAATTTATAGAATAATAGTAGTCAGGTAACAATGCGTCCAGTGTCAGATCATTGAATGTTATAAGTGTACTGCTATTGGAGCAAACCATACATTATACAAATAAAATCATCTGTTTCACATGTGATTGCAAACAACAAATTATCATAGGTAATACTGACAAACGCATTATCATGCTTCATCATTCATCAGTAAGGTGTGTGCGATGAAATATTCCAGTAAAGTTTTTCCTTTTCCCACTGTAACACACAATCCGATACAACTTAAGCTGCTGATCAAGAAAAAAAACTTGTCTGTTCTTTGAATAGTTTTGTTAGGTAGCAAAAATTCAAAAACTGAGCGAGTGTCATGTTTTGCAGAAATTCCCATCGTTTGAAATTTCTGCGAAATATTTTCTGTTCTTTTCTTGAGTTTCTACGACTATTTTCCTCAAATTTATGATTCAAAATTGAGTAAAACTAAATTATTAGGTCGAAACAGATCATAAAACTCTTTTGACGATGGTGAGTGAAATTGGATCTATTCGTATACTTACACTAGGTGCAAAAAGTCTCGCTACCAAAAAAAAATGTCTAAAATCCAGTTTTTTTGCTCATTTTTTCACTACAAATAGAATTTGGTAAATGCTGATCGAAAATATCAACTCGGGTTCGATCGAACTCAATGGAGAGGATCTACAAAGCGAACATTAATGTTTTCTTCTCGTATGTCTATTTCAGTGCGAAAATACAATCTTGACATGTTTGACTCTTCCGCCTATAGTTCTGTGCTTTATCTAACTACAGTAAAAATTTCGTAAGAAACTACTTTTAAATGCTTAAGAAATGAGCTTTACAATAGAAAACCCTCCCAATGAGAAAAGTTTAGGTTTCTGTTCGATATCTGTTTCATTAGATCTCGAAGTCTAAACGAAATCGAGATCGAGTCATGGGATGAGTTCGCCATTCAACCGCTTGCTAGTCATTGGGATATTGGAAAAACTCGGTAAGCCTTGCATAAAGGTCACTACATATGTGGGACTGTTTTGAGCAGTAAGAATAATGGGAATCACTGCTCGAAAGGAAAAAAAAAGTTTTATGACATCGGAGTCTGCTTGATTTTTGCATCAAATGAGAAAAGAATATCTTCCTGAAAGATGTACTTGTCTTTCGGCCTTTTGAGCTTCGGAACATTTGTTGAAACTTTATAGAGATCTCAACTTAGTTTGTTGCATTTTTATAGACTTTCTATGGGTTGCTCAAATCTGAAATGGCAGTTTCTGAAAGCTACGATTCATAATATTACAGCAGAGATTTAGATTTTTAACAAAAAGATGTTTTGTCATTTGCTACAAATATCCAGCAGATCGCGGAAAAGAACAGAAGAAAACATTTCGCAGAAACTGCAAGCTATAGTATTTCTGCAAAACATTAACAATCGTACAGTTTTTTGAATGTTTGCTACCGAATAAAACTATTCAAAAAATCTTTAAAAAGTTTCTTTTTCTTGGTCAGCAGCTCGAATTCTATCAGATAGTGCGTTAAAATGAGAAAACGAAAAACGTTACTTAAGCTTCGCGATCCAAATACCTTTGTAATGGATCGTTTTACACTTCTTTCTTATTAGTAGAGATCTATTGACCAAATTTCCATGAAAACATTTTATTTCGTATACTTATTGCTGTATAATAAATCAGTACTGACCTTATGAAGAAAACAGCATCTACTTGTTTTTGTTTCCTTCTACGAATACACTTAAACTCATCACACATGTAATACTTTTCGTTAAATTCAATAAAAATATTAAACCAAACAGCTTCTAATAGCGTAAGTCTTTCCATTGACTGTAGATATATAGATGAAGAAAATAGATCAATACTATTATCTATTCCTTTCGATTTGTTATCGGAAAAAAAGTGGATAATGCACCCATTCTAATCAAGATATAGTAGGAAAAAAACCGTTTCGGTAGATGTGCGCCATTTCCTAAACGTTGTTTGGAAAAACTCAGATCAAACCATCCTATTCATCAGTTTAATAAGTGGTTCAAAAATGATATTCTACGATAAACTATAAAAATACTGTTTACAATCAATCATTTGTATCTCATTTATATATTGGTTTCTGAGGTAGTATCCATTACATCGTTTTGCACTGCTTCAATATTATGGTTTTCTACTCAAGTCATGATGTCAGATTATATCATGAGTAAGGAAATATTTCAACAAGAATACTAACGGATACTTGCTGCAGAATCTAACAATGAAAAGGTGTGAACTGATGAACGAATAGATTGACCATATTCGGGTCAAAAGAAAGCTTTCAACGAGAAACTAACGAACTTAAAATATGAGCTTCTGATGGCGTACCTAGAGCAAGTTATTTATATTTCAAGATATGTGAAATTTAGGTATAAAAATGAATCAGGAAAGGTTTTCTCCACTATTGTAAGGGCAAAACATAGAGTTGTTCGGATCGAGTAGGGGGTTTGGAGGAGCCCTCTTTCATATGGCCCGAACAACACCATGTTTTGTGCTTACAATAGTGGAGTGATTTTTTTTAGTCGTTGATAGAAAACGCCGTTTTTCTATGAGCTACAGAAAAAAGTTACTTTACTATTACAAGGACGAAACATAGGGTTATTCGGGCCATATGAAAGAACATCCTTAATAACTCCCAGATTGGTCCGAATAATCCTATGTTCCGTCTTTATAATAGTAGAGTGAATTTTTTCTGCAGCTCCTAGAAAACGGCGTTTTCTATTAGCCACTAAAAAAATTCACTCTACTATTATAAGAACAAAACATAGTGTTGTTCGGGCCATATGAAAGAGGGCTCCTCCAAACCCCCTAATCGGCCCGAACAACACTATGTTTTGTCCTTACAATAGTGGAGAAAACCTTTCCTGATTCATTTTTATACCTAAATTTCACGTACCTTGAAATTTAAAATACTTGCTCTAGGTACGCCATCAGCAGCTCATATTTTAAATTCGTTAGTTTCTTGTTGAAAGCTTTCTTTTGACCCGAATATGGTCAATCTTTTCGCTCATCAGTTCACACCCTTCCATTGTAAGATATATGTACACAAATAGAATTTATATAGAAGTGACCTTCTATTTCAAGCTTATGCGAATGTTTCAAGATACACAGATTAACGGAATATCGGGGTTACTTTTTTATGATTAACTAAATGTACCCAGAGTTCTAAACAAAATTTCAAGTAGTATGAAAAAAAATTCATGCTAATCTTAACCCTTTGAGGACGGGATTACTTTTCAAAAAGATCACATTCTCGAAACTTCGAAATAATATCTCTACTAGAAAGAAGGTGTATCAGAATACAATACATATGGTCATGTAGCATCACATCGATGGTGACGAACCCATAGTCTGCACTAAATGTAGATCACCACTATATAATGAAAGACATATTCAAGTGCGTTGCACGTCGATCGAGAACCGTTGCCTATATATAGGCTTCCCGTCCTCAAAGGGTTAAGTGGATCAGAATCTAAAAGAGTTGGCTCTAAAATTTCGCTTCGTTCACGCCTTCATCCTCAATACTTCTTTATTTATCAACCTTCTAACACATGACGGATATTTTCAGGTAAAAGGTAGATCAGTTTATACTATGCTTTTACTCATCAGAAATCAGAAGCGAGTATAAACGAAGCGGCACTTCTTTCGTTTCCTGTTCTAGAGTTGTTCTTTCAAAAATTGTCGATGTTTCATTTTTATATGTGTATTACAGATAATTGAATTATACCCTTTAATGAGGAACGAACTATTACCTGATCCGTTTGCACTTAATGTTGTCCTTGATGTACTACTAGTCGATGTGGTGCTACTTATTAAAGTTGATGTACTTCTGCTTGTTGTACTACTAGTCAATGATGTGCTACTTGTTGAAATTGATGTGCTTCTGCTTGTTGTACTACTTGATGAGGTGCTACTTGTTGAACCAGCCGATGAGATACTATCTGTTGATTTTATAAAAGTCACACATATTGAAAAATAAAATAAAATATGAAATATCTTACTGGAAGGAGTAGTAGACGAATATCTTGAATTTAGTGATGGGCATACTATGAAAGAAGCACGTTCGATTGGATAGCACACTGGTACATTGCAACGAGTATTATTAACACAAACTGTATTGAGTGTCAAACAAGTTTCATTATCACGTTCACAACGAGTTAAGTTAGAACAGGATATAATTGTGTCAGCACACATTCCACTACCGGTCATTGTCATTAGAAGACATTCACAGTCACCATTCGATGAGCAAGGCATTGCTTTAGCAGAACATCCTGGTGATGGACAGCAACCACAACTTGCAAGTGAAGAATATTCTGCATTTTGACCTTAAAAAGAAAGTCTAAATTTATTTGTTCAATTGCATTTGTAATATTTTTCAGGTGCGTGGTCATCGATAAGATAAATCAGAATGCTAAAGAGTCGTCCATGAGAAATTAAATGTATCACGTTTTACTTTTTGTGCTTTAGAAGTCATTATAGTCTTCATATTTGTCATCCTTTAGTTCCTCTAGTATTTATAGTGCCTTTAGGATGTGAATGTGGGTAACAGTGTTGCCAAATCTCACAGATTTTCCGAATTTTTATGTTTTCTATCTCAATTAGGTTTTACTTTTTGACTCACATTTTAAGCAAATAATTATAGCAATTCAATAGAAGATTAGTGTTACTTTCTATTGTTCTACCTACAAGATTGCACATAAATTCATTTTTTTTATTCTAAATTTTCTGCAGTCATGCATATGTTAAATGTGTCTTTTTGATAATGAAACGTATATATGCTCATAAACGAAATATTAGATCAACAGTACTCATTACAGATGAATAAAAGATTCTTTTAAATTCATAATTATCATTTACAAAAGCTTATGATTTTGTCTTGTCAAAGTCAAAATTATTGAAATTTATTTAAGCGAAAAATATTGTACTCAATAACAATGTATAAATTAAGAAGAAAATGTATCATAAATAAGTAGTTAGAAATCTTTTAATCATGTTTTAATCTGTGAATTTTTATATAAATATGTTTTGCAACTATCAAGAATATTGCTGTTAATAATTTTTTCGAGTTGAACTTACTTTAAGGGCTCACAACTGAGTTTCAAAAACCTTTCCGGATTTTTTCCAGATTTTCTAAAAACAAAATTCCGAGATTTTACGGCTTTTGAGATGCAAATTCAGGATTCTTAGGTACAAGATCTGGCAACTCTGGTGGGTAAGTCTTGATCTGTGTCTTGGCGTTCCGTCACCATAAGATTCACCTCCATCTCCATTCCCATCTACCACACCAACACCGTATTCTCTATTACAAAATATACCACAAAATATGTGCACAAAGTTGGTGCCCTAATATCTACACAAGCAAAACCTTTCATGCAATTTTTCGCATAGAAAATTTTCCTAAATTCGCGAAACTCCCGTTGATGTGTGTAGGCACACAAGGAAGAATTGTGCACGCCTGTAGTAATGCTTGATTTGATTTTAAAATATCTATATTACGGTACGCATTCAAAGTAATGCAATATTATGAACGCGAAACAATGTATATTTTGAATATTAGATTTATTTTGAAGAAAACATCAATCAGTTCTTCTGGATGAAAAGGGTTTCATGATCTACAATTTTTCAGGAAGCTATGACTTAAAAGTTTACTAAATATTACACAAGTATAAGTTGAAGACATTAATTTCAGTTGTCAAACTTCAATGAGGGTACTATATGATCAAAGTAAGTTGTGAACTTTGTCTGATACATAAATTTAAAAAAAAGTTTTGCTTACCTGAGATCATACAGATCAAATATCTATAAATGCAAATAATGTCAATAGCACTTTATTACGATAAAAACTCACATTAGTTCTACAACTTGTAACAGCTTTTGCATCATGTTGATTTGAATAACATCGTCTTATTGAAACATCGGCTTTTATAGACAGTTGACTGCTGTTCTAACTCTTCAATGCAGTGCATCTATATGCAAGAACAAAAACAGATCTCGAGTGTGTTTTTATTATTTTAGAATCATTTATGCTCTTTTAAACTTCATCAATAAGTGAGCCTTCAGCATTTCATTTTGATAAACAAAGGTTAACCTTTTGATTTGAATAGTTCTCAATACCTCTCTCTCTCTCTCTTATCTTTTAGAAGACTCGAGTCTTTTGAAAGAAATTTTAGCCTAAATCTGTTTAAACTTTTTTTTCTAGTTGAATTATTGCTGAATGGTACTTGTTAGAGAATCAAAGTTGCGAAAAGAATAGAAAATGAAGTAATAGCTTATCTACGTATAACAGAAATATATTTTCTTTACAGAAATAAAAATACTATTTCCAGCTTGAATTAATACGAAAGAAAAAGAAAGGACTATAGATTATTGAAGTAAAGAATAATTAATATTAAATCTCATTTGCATCAGTAGTATTATGGAGTATGGGGGTGTGCCACTTTACATTTCCGTCACCCCATCCCCACCTGCATCCACATTCATACCCTTACATATCGACTGAATAAATCAACAATGATGAATATTCTCGCAGAATAATTGTAAGTGAGATCGATGGAACGATCACAGCATGCGAAACTTATAAATCAGCAAGATTCGATATGAAAATGTTATAGAGCAAGTATTTGATTATAAAACTTCACGAGGATGAGTGTGGATATGATTGGAAGAAATGTCCGTACCCACATACAAACATAAACATATCCAAATTCAAACGTCGAACCCTACACCCCACAGTCACATCGTATATCGACAACTTACATTCACATTCTAGGATATCTTTGGATTGATTTGAAGGATACGCGTATTTTTGTGGTAAAATCTCCATGGAACAGGCCAGCAACTAAGCTAGCATATATTATTTTATTTAGCAAATAACACAGGCCGATTGATAAAAGACATGACTTAAAAGAGTATTTAGTGTTTCTGTAGGATTTATTCAGTATTATAAAACAAAATTAACAATGAAATGTAGTTGTCAATCAACTGATGAGAGACAACAAATAACTATTACTTAAGCATGTTGTCGATTCACAATATTGTTCTTAGATGAAGTTACAAGCATTATGAGTTCGAACAATGAACAATTAAGTTTATAATATCAATTGATTAGTAGAAGTCTCATTTTTCCATGGTAGATTGTTCATCAAGTTCAAAGAGAAGATTGTAATCATGTATGACTCATTATTGATAAGCATCATTTAACTATGTAATCATATGATTTAATTTATATATGTATGTAACAAGGAACTATACATCAGAGAGTAGTACTTAAAGTTAATACAACGACATGGGACTCATGGTAGAACGGTTACTCAAAATAATTTATAATGATGATGATTGAACTATTTTCGTAGGGAACAAATATACTTTGCCGAATCGAGAAAGAAAATTCTACTTGAGAAATGTGCCAAAATATTGAATAGTTAGTCTAATTATAGAATAAGATATTAATTACATTTATCTTTATTCTATATTTTAAATATAGCATAAACAAGTATATTGCCAATTACAACTATGTTAACTAAGATCAGTTAAACCTAAAATTTTCCAGAGAAAATATTTTGATTCATTCAGTTGTTTAGACAAAAAAATCTTTTTTTTCTTTTTATAATATACCATTATATGTTAAAAGACGTTCAAAAACATCCAAAATAAGATATAGATCTTTTCAAACAAAGTAGATAACTATAACGACAATAAAACAATAAGAATAAATAATATTACATGTCAAGAAAGCGAAAAAAAAATCAGATCATAAATAATTAATTATAAAGAGTTTGCTACGTTCATATTACATTACTGTTACCAATAAGAATGCTTGAATTGCTTTAACTAGATGAAAATCTGTACGAGATTTAAAAACAAAAAATATTTATAATTTAATCAGAACCCAAATGCCAAACAATAAGATATGATACATGTCTTTTGCTATTAGTTGCGTCATTATTGCTGTCTAATGTTGTATTACCAACACGAAAATCAATATAACCATCTCCACCACTTACAATAAGAATATCACCGAATGATGAAGTTGCTGTATCGGTCGATGATAGTGTTGTTAAAGATTCCGAAATCATCTCATCTTCATGAATTAATTTTGATGATGTTTGTCCAGGTACCACAACAAAAAATTTTACAGCATCTCTATATCCATGACAAGATAATTGAGCATTGCTCATATTACAATAAGGAATGTAATTTGAAGATGATATCTGATCGGAGACACGAACAACAGAACCAGGTTTTGTTGATGTTGAACTAGAAGCTGTTGAAATATCTAGAAATAAAATATTCTTAGACGACTACTATAAAGTTTTCGACACAATGAGAGCTTTTCAAGAATTTGAATTTCTAATTCTTCCTTTTTAACCAACTATTAAATCACATACTGAAAACCAAACAATGCCATCATAATCAAAGAAGAATGATTTCTATGTTTAGACAATATTGAACTTTTCATAGTTTGATTGAGAATAATTTTCAATTATTAAACGAACTTGTAGTTAATTGAAATATGTTCGTGAGAACTCACATCATTAACTTTCTATGATGTCGAATGTTTTGTAATAAAGTCAACATTTAGCTTGCATCATCCCTCAGAACATGATCTTTATGCTATTGGGCTGAAAATTTGTGCATATAATTGAGATTCTCAGTTACATATACAATAGAAAATCTCAGCTTCATATCTCACTATCTGCTGTAGTCAGGACAATTTTGGTCTATACATAGCATTCATTTTTTTATTCGTCTCGGGTTTCCAATGATATTGGACCATCATAACGGGAAAAAGAAGTCTCAAAATCATATTAATTTTTAATGTACACACTTCACAGTACTCGGTGATGCATTTATCTTAAATTTCGTTTTTCAGAGGAAATTCGATGTTTTCGAATGGAGAAAAGCAGAGATAAAATCGATCTCAGCATAAGCAGATTCTATTAATAAATTTCTAAAGCTAGTAAAACAATTCATCAAGAATACGATGGATATCCAATAGAAACTTACTGTCCGTCAATGGAACCGAAATGATAATACCGCTACCAGTACCAATCCATAAACGACGACATGCAATTGTTAATGCACTTATATGAACAAAATAAAGTCCAGTTTTCTCTGTTACTAAAATAATAAAAATAAACAAAAAAAAATTGAATATAACATAAGAATAGAAATTTTATTCCTAACCAATCATTTTTTCAATATATGGTTGTATATCAACATCTTGTAAATGTTCATATGTTTCTGCATGATATAATTGTAAAGTACTTGATAAACGAACAGATAACCAAACACCATCACCAGACCAAGTTATATGTTGAACAGAATGTTCTGGACGAGAATGAACTTGTAATTGTTTCTAATAATATTAATAAAATTAAAAAAAAAAAAAAATTCTATTCAATACTAAATATTAAACTTAAATAAACATACTCGAATTTCTAATGTTTGAATATCAATAACATAAACACGATTAGCCACACCACACCAGATGGATTCTCTAACATTGATAGCACATCGAATTGATTCACGACTTTTACCAGTTATAATTAAATGAAAATTATTTAAATTCCATGTACCATCTCAAAATAGATAAAAATCAATTATTTTTTTTTCATTTAGTTTTTAAATAATTTTACCTATATTACGATGAAAAACAATTAATTTTTCATTAGCCAATGATACAAAAATACGACCACGAACATGACTAATTTTAATTAAAAGAAACATAAACTAAAATTCATTCTTATTTATCTTACACAATACTGTAAATTGCATGACGAAGCCAAACTTTTCCAATCGTTGTACGATGTTCATCAATAGCCGAATGAATATATAACCTAAATTTTTTTTTCAATTACAAAAAAAATAAATAAATAAAGAATTTTTCTTACTGACCATCCATCACTTGAACCTAACCAAACAGTTGGATATTTTGTTTTGTTTTCATCGACACCTGAAAAATAAACACTTCTAGTACGGAAAAGCAACGAAATTAAAGACTGACACTTTTTCTATTTTAATTAATCTTTCTCGATATATAAATATCCTACATTAGATAGCTTTCAATAAGAGTTTCAACAGGTCTTACTAAGAAAAAAAGATAATTTTGAGATTGATATCAGCGATTTGTAGTGTACTCCTACGATAGCAGAGATTTTCAGAGCACGAAGCATTAGAGAAAATCATGATAATTGTACGCTGTTCTGATAACAAATGACAACAAATTGGTTTTAAATCAATCCGATTATAATAAAAAACAATGTATGTTGGAACAATACTCAACTATCATAGTTTTTCTCAGTATCATATCTATTTAATTCTGACAGCAAATGTTTTATTTAGCTTTTCTCTTCCAGACCTAGTAATATATGAGATCTTGACTAAATTCCTCTACGGATGATGAGAAACTGTATGATGAACTAACTAAATACATGGAGAGTAAAATGAATTATTAAAAGGTGAACATGTATTATCGTGATATCAACAACAAATTTTAGAAGCCGAAAGATACTAAGTAAATCTTACTGTACTATGACTGTGAAAATATCTACCAGATGCCGATTAGCGCTGATCCGAATCCTGATGCAAAAAATCGTATCCGTGAAGGACACCAGCACAGCCCATATAATACGCCGTACAATGATTACAAACTTCGGAAGGATCAACTGAATCTTCGAAGACACGTCACGCTCTCGACTCTCGTACTGAATAAAACACTACTGACAACAGTCTTAATAAAAATTAAAAACAAGATAGATCAAGAAAATTTTATTCCAATTGCCGGAATCTTGAATACTGTTTATTTTAATCTTTAATAGAAAAGAAAAAAGACTTACTTTGATAAGAGATATCAGAATGAATTTTTTCAGATGATATTTCAACAGTATTCGAACGATCTATACAAATATTCAGTTAATATTCTATTTGAAAAAAAAAAAAAAAAAAAACTTTACTTCCACCCGTTGAAAGTGATGCAGCTGTACAAGGCATTACTTTTACATCTAAAATTTTGTAAATATTCTCATAGATAAAATTCAATTTTAATATTACCACTTGTAGATATTTTCTCATTCAATTTCGAATCATCAAATGGTGGATAATCTGTACTTGATGTACCTAAATAATCTCGCTAGTGAACTAAATAAAAAAATAAATAAAATTTTTTTTTGTTCTACCTGGAACACTACCGATTGCATAAATAATAGTATCTCCTAATGTAAATGTATCAATAATTTTATCTGGTTTATTTGAATCAATAATTGTAATCATAGCTGTATTATTTGATTTTGCAGCTATCCAAACAAGTGATGATAATTTTAAATATTGTTCATCAATCATTTGATGATATGATTCAATTAATTGTTTATTTATTGAATCAATCGATGTTTCATCGGTATTGAATGATAATCCACTAAGATCAATACCAGCAGCACACCAAATCTTTGAATTAAAATTAGTTTAATTAAATTAAGTTTTCTTTTTTACTTGTGTCGTATCATTGGTATTAAATATTGGTTGATTATAAATTGGCATAGGTACATTAACTTGAACTTTACCATTAATATTAGATGCTTTCAAATGATTTTTTGATGACAAACTCCAACCATATGCTTGAAAACGATTACCATCATCCGTTAAAATTGAACTATCATGACGTGTCGAGGCGGATTTTTGTAGTGGATCAATAGCAGTACTACAAAATTTAAAAATGTTACTCATTAAAAGAATAATAAAATCAAAAGTTTTATCATGTGGATGCTAATAGAGGTGTAAGCCGATCAGCTTATACTTCTAGGCGTTAATGAGCGATGAATAAAGAGTTCGAATATTCTTAGCTTATTGCTGCCAAGTACTGCATTTTTTGATTTGCTCTTATCCTAAAACACGAACATCAAATCTGCGGCCGTTGTCATATGTTAGGATAGAAACAGTGAAAAAGATTTCAAACTTTCACAATAAACTATTCTCACAAAAACATGTTAGTATGGAAAGTTTCGAATCGAAATTCGAAAATTAGTTTTTTCTAATATATCCGCGGGAAGTCAGAGCATCATATAAGATACATATAGGCTCAATTCAAAAGTGATTAACCAGTTAGAAAACTTCGTTCGTAATCTCTTTTCTCGAACCTTTCATTAATTGGTCGTTCTAACGGAAGATTTTTATTTGTAGTAATTGTCGATCCAATTTGATCATCATTTATTGAACTATGTTTCATAGAAGTTCCAGTCGATGCTGATAAATTGGTTGTAGTAGTTGTAGTAATTGAACGTTTAGGTGAGACATCTTTGGCAGTACTGCCAAATAAACCCGAAAAACTAACAAATAGAAAAGAAAAACATATACATATATTTTATTTATGTTGAATAACAAAAAAAAAAAACTTTTTTTTTTTTTTTTTAATTCTTACAACTCAGAAATTTGTGTTGTACCCTCTCTCAAATCACTCTGAATATCGACAACAGGTACACCCAATATATTTTCAGGCACAATCGATGTGGGTAGCCAGTCTTCACTGAGCATACGCCACAAAGATTTCGATGTAGATATTGTTTCTGAAGGGCTTGCTACTGATGTAGATGAACAATTTTCTTCTACTGTTTGCTGATCATGTATTGCTGTTTGTGTTCCTTTGCTTATCAACAAAGGTTTCTATAAGGAAAAATATATTTCATTATATTTTTTTTTTTGTTAATATTCATATGCCCAATCATTTCATGCATTGATTAGTAGCTATATAAGTGATTAAATAAAATGAAAAATGTACCGAACATATCGATAGAATGCGAACTGTTTTATTATAATAGCAAAAAATAAATTGCTCTGTATTTTTTTCTTTTTCGATACTAATACAACATTTATTTGTTGACTCACAGTTTTAAGAACATTGGTCTATTTTTGTTTTGTATTTGATCAAATAGATTATCATTAATTGTATTTATTGTTGATGATGAACATAATTGTTGATGTCGTGATGCACGTAAAGCATCCTGTCGATGTATAGCTTCTTCAAGTTCAAATAAACGTTGTTTATATTGATTACGTTCAAGTAGAACACGTTGCATTTCGACTCGAGTAAAACGCTTTCTATCTTCATTCGGTACATTTTCCTGAGAAATATTTAATTAATATTAAAATTCAAACATGCATTATTATTTTAATTATAAAAGCAAAAGCATTAATAATTATTATTTCATCAAACAAAAATCAAATTCTTTTTTCTTTTTTTTTTAAATTGTATTAACTTACATATCAACATTCTATGTTATATTTGCATGCAATAAGATGGTTATTATTTCTTTTTTCTTGTTTTTTTTTTTTCTTGTCTTTTAAATCAACTTACTTCTTCTTCTTTTTTCTTTTCAAGTTCTTCACGTGTTTTTCGAAGTTCTTCATCAATTTCAGTAATTCTAATAATTGTAAATGAAATTTATCTTAATAGAAAATTTTTTTTTTGCTGTTGTTTTTAACCTTGATTGTAAACGACTTCGAACTGTTTGTAATGAATCAACTTCTTCTCGAGCTATTTCTAATTCACTAATATTATATAAGATATAAAGTTTTTTTTTTCTTATAATAAAATAAACCTTTTCTTTTACTCACTTAGATAATTCTTCAATTTTTGCTAATAAATCATCTTTAAGTACATTTAATGCATTTCTAATAATAATAAAATAAATGAAACTTTTCTGATTTATATATTTTTTTTTCTTTTGTTAAATACTTTGTTTCCAAAAGTTCATTATTTTCTTTGATTAAATTTGAAACTTCCTTTGTCATGCCTAAAAATTAAAAGAAAATATTATTTTTATTTTCGTTTTTATAAAACATTAGCAAAATAATATTAATATAAAAGCAAATAAAATTCAGTGCCCCAACTTTACAATATAGATTCTCACCATAAAAACTTTGTCGAACTATACAAGAAGGAAAATGTTTGTAGATTTAATTATTTGAAAAATTTATTCTTAACTTACCAAATAAATCTGCTGATGCATCAACATCTGATATATCAATATTATCATTTCGTGTTTCTTTATCAAATGCTTCCAAATTTTTACTATGAAAATAAATAATCATATTTATTCTAAACGAAGATATTCAACTTACGTATCATCTACAGATATGTCATCATCATCATCACTAACAACAACATCTAATTAAAAATAATATTAATAAATTCGTTATAGAGAATTTTTATTCTTTGACATAGAAAAATGTATATGGTTATTTTATTAAATAGATCACCTGTACTATTATTTGTCTGTTCAAATTCATCTTCAGTTACGAAGAAATGTTGTTCATCAAATGGTTTCGATAAAAGATTGAGATTTCGCAATTTCGTGAATATTCCTATGAAGCATGCAACATAGACATACATTACAAATAAAAAAATACAATACAAAAGCAAAGCATAGACAGTTATCAATTCTTTATTTAGTTAAATTGGATAGGACAAAATAAAAACACTCAATATTGTTTGTTTTTTTTATATTACTCATGCAATATATTTGTTTTTTGTTAAAAAGCATGATATATTGTAAGTACATGCTCTTTGAAGATGAACATTTCTTACCACGTTTATATTTTTCAAGATAATTCTTATCATGGTCTAGATGATAAAATAATAAAAACTTCTTTCTCATTTTTCCTCATCTCAAGAATAACTTAACAAATAGACAACATCAATTTTACAAATTACTATCGGACCTGATGTAAAATCTTTTAAAGATATTTCATCCATCATTGATATTTTTGCCAATTCAACTGAAAAAATTATTGATATACATTACAGACATTATTATAAAAAACTGTTTTTTTTTTTTTTTCGATTTTCAAATTTTATTAAAATAAAGAAAACAAATATAAAATTTACCAGTATTTACAGCTACATCATTACTTGTCATGGATTCAGTTTGTGTATGTTTACCATCTGTAATTTCAAGTTCCGACTGAAATTTACTATCAACATGATGTTGCTTTGATAATCTTAAATGTGAAAATCATTTTTTCTTGAATAAAAAAATAAATTAAAATTTACGTTAGGGAAATATCTGGATATTGTGAAACCACTTTGTCGATTTCTTTCTCGCCTGATAATTGAGATGTTGATGATAATCGAAGATTTCCACTATTAATATATCAAATAGAGTCCTGATTTTGATTAGATTTGGTCTAGATAGCGACCTTTTTAGTAGGTTCATCTTGCAAAAAGTCTACTATTCGGAAAAGATTATATTTCGAAATTTCAATCTGAAATTGTATACACATGAAAGTTTTCGGTTAAACTATCTCACATGCAAATTGTCATCAGTTTTGGATATCTCAATACATCCCTATCTTGCACAGCACTTAAAGAAATGTATGAAAGAGCAGAAAATCTTTGTAGGATTTACTACTGGACCACTTGGGAATTTTTTGTGTACTCAAAAAGTGAGTACACTCTAGAATCGGTCAGTATGTCCGTCCGGCCGTTTACACGATAACTTTTGAAAGGAGAGTTCAATCGCGATGAAATTTTCTACACAGTTNGCAAAATTTCAAGACATAATTTCGTCATTTGAATTTTTTGTAAATACCTTGTCATAGGCCGAAAAATCAGTAAAATGACCATAACCTTCGAAAGAAGCAACATGGGCCCAAATCGTCTTAGGCTTTTTCTTAGCATACTGACCCCTACATATGGGCAAAATATAAGCAAAATCGGCGTGAATCACTTGGAACGGTTCCCTCGTGAGTTCGGACTCATTCGACGAATACTACTACTCTGACAGTAAGAAACATTTATACCTTGATTCTTATACAATTACCGTTGAGAAATAAATAGAGTTTGCTAGTGACCAACTAGAAATTATCGAAAAGGGTATCTTACACTTTTGGTATGACTATCAGATTCGCATTAAAAAACTTCATTGAAATAATAAAGAGTACGGTTTAAACCCAAGTTAGAGTTGTAACCAGTAACGGTAAATGTCCGGTGTAGATTTTTTTCAAGTTCTTGTATGCTTTTTTTTTATTCGTGTCGATAACTATTTGTTTGAAAGAACATCCATTAGAATATTTCTATTAGACAAATATTCATAAAAATATACTTAATATATTTTATCAAGTTATATTATTGAAACAAACCACATCTTTCGTAGAGAGATAACAAAATAGATCTATTGACAAGCGCATAGTACACATACGGATGATTCGTAATTTTTATGTCTGATGAACATTTAATTAATGTACAAAGCTAATATAAAATCTATGGTTTAGGGATTCGAATTTATGCAAGTAATCTGCCATTAGATTAAAAGAATATCGATATGTTTGTTGTGGTCTTAAACGAAAAAATCTCATGAGTTACAACTTTAGTTCGAGTGCAAAAGATGAACGCGATGTTTTACATAAGAGTTACAAGTCAAAATCACTTGTTCTCTTCAATAGAAAGCAAATTAATCAGATAGAAAACGAAGACTATGCCATTTTTTCGAACGCGTATAATCATGAAAACTGTTTAGAATGTCAACAATACATTAATAATTTTTCTCTTGAAATAGCAAAATTGATTTTATATCAAATACGATTGTTCCACTCTTGCTTTACTTCTTGTTTAGGAATTCACAGAAATGTTATGCCATCTTTCTTGTTTCATACAAAATTGATGATCAATAGTGTTTTTTTAACCAATTGGATGTTTTATTATAATAGGATAAATGACTCATATGTAATAATAGATGGTGCTATGCGGTTTATAAAAGCACTCTGATTCGATTAATTCAATGACCGTTTAGATTTGAAGAAAAAATAACAAAAACAAAATCTGTTACGTAGTCGACAAGAAAGTCTTTCATATGTGTGTATATAATGAGTTATTCTTTCGTGGACTATTTAACATTTTCATTTTTGCTTTCTTGTTAATGTTCAATAAATAAATATTCGATTTAGAAAAACTTTGATATTGCATCATACGATAGAAAAGTGTAAAATCACGTGATTTAAGTTTTAGCCTTTACTAAACGAATTTCTATAGAATAAGTTTTTTGTTTTTGTTCATTTATACTAGATTTATATAAAATATGAGATGAATAATCAATGGCGACAGAAACAAAAGTGAGACAATGTTTAAAAAAATTTGGCTTCGAAAAATTCCGATCTGATATTCAAGAAAAAGCCATTTTATCAATTATTAGTGGTTTGTATATTTTTATCATAACAAAGATTAATATATTTGATTGTTACTTTTTTTTTTCAATAGGAAATAGTGACGTATTCATATCATTTCCGACTGGTGCCGGAAAGTATGTAAAATTTTCTTAGAATTAGAAATTATCTTAATTCGGTTCTATCGAACATGTTGAAGCTGATTTTTGGAAGATTCAATATTAATTTTATATTTTGACATGATTAAAATACTATTGGTACTTCATTCGAAATAAACATTCTAACTGATCTTTTTTCTACAATTAGTATCTTTATGGATTAAACAATTTGATTCCATTTTTAGTTCTTTCTTCTAAGATTTCTACGAGATATTTTTTATTTCATTGACAATTTTTCATGTATGAGAATAATCAAAATATTCGAAAAGTTTTACTAAAATCAGAGTAATACTTTGTTCGTGACCTTACAAATATTATAAACTAAATAAATAATGACTGATTGAATAGTTTATTTCAAATCAGATTCATATCGATATCTTTTTAAATTCAATAAAAATAATATTTAATAGATCATTGTGTTATCAATTTCCTGCTGTATACAAAGAAGATGGTCTTTCCCTGGTTATATCTCCATTACTTGCACTTATACAAGATCAAGTAAAATCTTTAAATGATAAACAAATCGTAGCACGTACACTTAATTCAACATTGAGTCAGCAAGAAAAAAAAATTGTACTTGGAGATCTTATGCAACGACAACCAACAACTCGACTATTGTATATAACACCAGAACTTGCTGCTACTCAAAGTAAACGAAAAATTTTCTTTCGAATACAAAAATAAAACATTTTTTTTTTTGAAAGGTTTTTTATCAATTATAAAAAAAGTTCATCAACGTAAATTGATTAATTATCTCATTATTGATGAAGGTAAATTTAAAAAAGAAAATCTGTTTACTTTTTCGTTCGAAATATTCATTTTTTTTGTTTTTGTTTCATAGCTCATTGTGTTAGTCAATGGGGTCATGATTATAGACCAGATTATTTAAAATTAGGTACATTACATGATGAATTAAATAATGTCCCATGTATTGCTGTAACAGCAACAGCATCTCAACAAGTGACTACTGATATTTATAGGTTTGTTTATTCTATTGTTGATATTTATTATTATTATTCATTATCTGTATATAGTTCATTACATTTACGACAGCCTGTACTCGAATTTAAATCATCTGTATTTCGTCCAAATCTCTTTTATGATGTACAATTCAAAGAATTACTTGATGATCCTTTTATAAATTTATGTGAATTTATAGATGAAGCAAAACGAATTATTACTGATGTATAATTATTTTTTTTTTTTTTATCAATATTTTATTTTTCGTTTATGTTATTAGACACAATCCATAAGTGGAATAATTTATTGTCGTACACGAGATTCATGTTCAGATTTAGCTAATAAATTAACACAAACAGGTAAATATGGTTCTGTTAAAGCATATCATGCTGGTTTAACAAATGACAAACGAATGCAAATTCAAAATGATTGGATGAATGGTTTAATAAGTATCATATGTGCTACGATTAGTTTTGGTATGGGTATTGATAAAGGTGATGTTCGGTAAGTAATAAAGTTATGTCTAAAAAAGAATTTTTAACATCAAGTCTTCCGGTGCGTTATCTTATTTTGTGTCTTGGCAAGCGGAAAAGGCAGTTCGGAGGTCGTACAAGGACATTTACACGACCAACAGAAGACAAGAAGCACTTGACTTTTTTTTCTCCATAGTTTTATAAGCATTGGAAAAAAGACATTGAGTGCAATTAACAACACAGACTAAGCTGTTTTACATAATATTGTAAATTATTTTCTTCAAAAAAAATAAAATGACTGGAATGTAGTTGTTAATAATATAAATAGTATAGATTTTTACTTTTCTAAAGGTAAACAATTATATGATAGATGTCAAAAATGTATTTATATTGCACAACTGGTACATGATCGAGTTATAACTTTGAAACATAATTAATAACAGTCTTTTGATGTTTATCGAAATGCATAATAATGGATTGAAACCTGCTGTGGATATAATGGATGTGTACAATAGGATTATTTGTTAGTTAAGTCAATGATTAGAATAGTAATAATGTTAAATTACGAAAAATAGCACGGCTAAAGAATACATATAAGTTCCATAGTTAAGCTTCAAAAGAGCTGCTACATCGACAAACATTTTCATAGATTTTATTCCGTAGTATGTTTCTTCGAGTGATGTTAATCAATCATTTGATTTTTGTGTATCTTTGTATTTCTTCGGGTTCGTTTCACATGTCTTCTTATATCTCTAGATTAAAATCAAACAAGCTTCACTGCCAATCATTCATCATATCATTTCAATGTGTAAATGAGAATGAGTCATAAATAAGCCATTCATCTTAAATAAAAAACAAGTCGCATTACTCTTTTTTTTTCGTAGTAATGCTGTTGATTTGTCTACAGAAAGCTGCGAAACTCATTTATCATGAATAATTTTTTTTTTTTTGAACAATGATATTGACCATTTCAGGACGGAACAGGACACACACACACATCTTTTATTCAACTTGGATTATTTTTCTAAATAAATTCTTTTAACATAGATTTGTATAAGTGCAAGTCGACGCTTTTCTATGGTTTTTTTTTTTTTCGAAAAATTTTTTAATTTTGAAAAAAAAAAACAACAGAATTTTTCATATTATTCATAGATGAAAAGTGACTCAACATGAGAATGAAGGTTTAAAATTAAATTGAATATCTCTTGTTTAGATTTGTTGTTCATTGGGATTTAGCTAAATCCATATCTGGTTATTATCAAGAATCTGGTCGAGCTGGACGTGATGGAAAACGTTCACATTGTCGAATGTATTATTCTGCACGTGAACGTGATACACAATTATTTCTTATTAATCAAGAAATAAATGATAAAGTAACAACAAAATAAATATTTCAATTCAATTCTTATGTTTAAATTCTCTTAGAAAATTGCTGATGAACAAAAAACATCTATGCTTAATGGTTTCAATTCTCTTGTTCAATATTGTGAAGAAGCAAAGTATGTGTATATAAAAACACCAAAAAAAGAAAAAAACCGAGTTCATTTATATTTTACACAGATGTCGACATTTGGTTATTTGTAATTATTTTGGTGATATGTCAATGAAACCATGTGAAACCATGTGTGATGTATGTACACAACGTGAACTTGTTTCGGTTAATTTACAAAGTTTAAAAGTAAATTTAAGATTTTAGTTTTTTTTAAAGTTAAAAAATATAAAAATAAAAATTTGTTTCTAGAAAAAGAAATTTGATGAAACAATTAATCGACGTTCAGCAAATCGTATTATGTATCGTAATGAAGGCAGTGAAGAACAGTATGAAGGTGGTCGATTAGCAAATCGACGTGAAGAACGTGAATATGGTGATACTGATGATGGTTGTCATCGACATGATAATGATACTGAAACAGCAAAATTAGCAACAAAACTCGTTTTTAATGAACTTAAACGACGTGCAGCGGTAATAGAAAATTTTCTTTTTTTTAATAAAATAGATTTCTTTTTTTTTTTCTCTAGGCAATGGAAATTAAACCAAAAGCTTGGACAGTAGCAAGTACCAATTGTCCATTAATTGATCCAATTAGTCGAAAAATTCCTAATGTTACTGTTCAACTTCGTGAACATGTTTGTCGTAAATTAAAAGAAGCATTAGTTGAAAATATTGAAAAACATTTTGCTAATGATGAAACTCAACGAAATACACAGTAATTATAAATCCATCTTCGCAATAGAAGACTTCTATTAGACTCTTCAGCTTAGCATTAACATTGTAATAAATTAATACTAATGAGATAAAGACCAGAATTGATGTTCATCGCATTTAAATGATTAGTAAAATTCTGTTATTTTGATTTTTCGGTATATATATAAAGCTTGATCGAAAGTTCAATAAAACGGCTAAAGTTCATGTGAACGAAATCTTCTAGGGTTTGGAGAGTCTCACCAAGGCATTCTTGTATACGCCATATGTGCTCAAATGCTGAGTATCAGTTCGGGTAGTTATTTTGTAAGCCGAAATAGAAATGATCTGGGCCAACTTTTTTCGATTCAGTCCCGCGCATTGGGACATCCAATAGGAGATTGCCTTTGGACGAACGATTTGTCGAATATAATAGAAGACGCTTCTTCATTAATTAATCTATGGCAAAACTGCAACTTTATGTCAAAATATACCTGAGTTTCTGGTTTTTTGTGCTTTTCTAAACCCTAAAAAAAATCCCAAAGTTGTCTTAGTATTTTCAAAAATTCTTTTAATTAAATCTTATTAAAATAGCTGACACAAAGAGGATTCAAAATCTTCAATATTCTTCAAATCTAAATATAATATCTTTTTTTTTTTTTGTAGTGAAGCAACATGTCTTGATAAAGCTATTTGGCTCGAACATCAAGTATTTTTAGCAACAAAAAGTGAACCAATGTATAAAATGAAATATATGTCTAAAGTAACAAAATCTTGAAAAAATAAAAATTAGAAAATGTCAATTTATGCATACGTTTTTATTTTTTATTAGTGTAATGAAATTACAAAAGCAACAAAAAATAATGCCAATTTGTATATAATTGATTCCATGCCAACAAATTCTGTTAAAGAATCATCATGTTCACCAACATCTTCCAAACGTAAACTTTCCGAAACTGAAATAAATTCTATTTCAAATGAACCCGAAACAAAAATTCTTAAACAAAATGGACATACAGATGATGAACAAGAACAACAAGATAAATCTACTCAACCATCATTATCACCAATAAATACAGAAAATAAATCACCTAATCGAAAACGATCATTATCATCATCATCATCTTCGTCATCTTCATCGTCATCATCAAGTTCATCAACTAATTCATCATCATCATCATCAACTTCAACATCTTCATCATCCAGTAAAGCATCATTACCGAAAATAAAAATTAATAATAATAATAAATCACCTAAAACTCCAATATTAAAACGACCAAATGGTGAAAAATCAAAAGAAAAGAAAAAACCTAAATTAATTCATCAATCATTATCAACAAAATCTAAATCTCAATCAACAACAATTCATCGACATCGTCGTAATTCTTTACCTATTCAATCAAATTCGTCTGATGTTAAAGCTAAACAAGCTCGTGGTACATTAAAAACTTGTCTGGAATCAATGTCAAATTTTTTGCATCAAAAATTAAATGAACAATCATCGACGCATTTAACAATTCAATCACCTAATGAAGAACCAATACCACCACAAGGTTCATCATCACCATCATTTCTTAATGATCAAGAACAACAAATTCTTAATACGAATCGTCAACGTCAAACAAGTTTAGATGAACGTATTCGTTCATTATTTAATCATACTTCTGATGATGATAAAACAACAACAAATAATAATAATACTATTAGTAAAGATATATCAAAAAAAAATATTCGTAAATCATTACCAATGCCACCAGGAACATTTGGTTCTGATGAAGAACACAAAAATATACCAACAAAAAAACGTAGTAATTCATTAGGTGCTCACGGAAAATCAACAAATAGAAAATCATCAACGCAAAATAAACGATTATCATCGACTACTAGTTCAACTAGTAATCGAAAATCATCAACGAAAAAATCTCGAGATAGCAAAGTAAAAACTTTTTTTCTGCTTTTAACGAATTCTCTATGGATCATTCCAGGGAAAACGAGACAACTACCTTTCATTTTACTTTGATTCTTTATAAGGGCTATTTTTTCTCTATAAGTTCTTTTCGGATGGATGTAGATGTATGACATGTATGTGAATACTAGTCTTTTCTTCATATCTACGCCTACAACCAAATCCAACTCTTAACAGAGTCACTTGATGACGTCTGAAATATTTTCAACCAAATTGATACATATCCTTTTTCGTTATAAGGAATTAATCATACACTGAGACATAGTTTTTCGTATTAAAGCGGAATTCATATGGTGAAGTTTCTATTCCATTACAGAATGAAACCGATGATTTTGGAATTCCTTTCGATCAGAAACTCAATCCGAAGATAAATATCTCCCTCGTTGCACGTTTGTTCAGACCAGGGCACATAATACCGAATGATTGAAAATAGCGATACGTATCTAGGCTCTGCTCGAATACGAATCGAAAAAGTTCACACTCTCATTTTTGTGTACTCAAAAAGTGAGTACACTAGAATCGGTCAGTATGTCCGTCCGTCCGGCTGTTTACACGATAACTTACGAAAGGAGAGTCAGATCATGATGAAATTTTCTACACAGTTCAGTCTTAACAATGTCTCGATCGAGTTCGAAGATGAGAAGGATCCGTCACGAAATGGCTAAGTTGTCGAAAAAATTGTCATTATTGATCAGACCATCCCTGAGGGGGGGAGGGGGGCAAAGGGATTTAAAAAAAAATATTTTTCTCAAAATTATTCACAACATATATAAATCGACTCAGTTTTTAACGCTGATTCCGAATCTGATATTATTTTTGAATTAAATAGTAGCTTTCTAACAAAACATCGCCTGAAAAAGGTCTTAAAATGCACAAAAACTGCATCCAGAAACCAAATTGCCTAGATGTGTCTCAGATGACCAGTAGCATTTGGGGTTTCCCAAATGCCTGATTTTCTAGCTAGTCAAAAGGACTATCGAAAGGTAATAACCCTAACTCGATAGCTATTAATATTGGTAATTTATTAGGAAAATCCTGATGTCTATATCTATGATATATCTGTTATAGATTGATGAGGTTGCTTACGATCGTAATCCTGCTAGATACAAACGCAAATCCATTCAAAACTAACTCTTCTTACCCAATTTTCCAAGCTAAACACGAATCTGAACTCAATTCCTGTGATTTCTAAAGATATAATATCACTGTGAGAGTAGAGTCAGTAGTCACCGGATAGGGTCGCATACAGTATGATCCATGCTAACTTAGCACGTCTGTATTTTCTTCTTGCAATTTAGTGATAAAAAACACAGTAAATATACCTTTTCACTTTTTGAAGTACACATAACACTCGGATTTAAATCCGAGGTTTTCACATTTATTTATACATTTTAATGAATTATTCTATTTTGAATGTTTTTTTTCGCTTTAAAGCTAAATATTTCAATAGACTTGTAAAAATGACGAGAAGATCGTATTTTTGTGTTTTAAATTAGAATTTTGTTTAAATAAAAAAAAAAAACTTCTGTCTTTCTAGCTTCCTGTGAATATCAAAACAATTTCAGAAGTTGTTGTTGATGTACTCAATCCATTTTATCAAGCAAATAAATTTTCATCTAAAGTATATAGAAAATTTATTTATCTTTATGAAAAATCGAATTAAATTTCATTGTTCTTCTTTTTTTTTTCGTTGCAGGAATTGTTTAAAACACTTGCGAAACGTATTTCACAACATTTAGCTTCCAAAGAATTTTCAAATATTGATGCGGGTATATGAAATTAATTAAAAAGCCGATATTTTTAAATCAAAATTTTCTTTTCTTTAAATATTTAAGTACGTATGGATGCTAAATCGTTGATTAAACCAGCATTTCGTCATAAGCATTCAAAAATCTTAACACATGCCGATTTGGATCGAATCGTACCACCTTAAATATTTAATTATGGGCACACAGCGAGAGAAAAAAAACAAGCAAACCAAGAAAAAGAGAGTCTTGTGCACAAGAGAATGTGTTCGTCTAGTCATATGTGAACACTTATTGCCGGTGGCTCTCTCGCTCGTGTCATTCAATCTTCGTTCTTTTCTTTTTTTTCTCTTTGATTTGTTATTATCTTTCTTTGATTTTCTTTTTTTTTTGTTTTTGTTGTTCTTCTCTTTTTTCTTTTTGCACTTCGGGATAACTGTTTGTTAGCTTTTAATAGATAGCACAAACATAAATTTATCTCGAGATAGCTTTTAATAAAACAAAAGCACAATGGTCTTGAAAGAAAAAAAAATAAAAAACAAAACCAGCGCCGGCTTTCTGTTTTTTAAAACGCATTCAATACCGACGAGTTTTAACAGTATACATACACCGATCAATGTGTGTGTCTTCTAGATCGGCGATATTTTTCCTCGACAAAAACTTTAGATTATTTTATCAATGGATATGTATTAGAATATGGCAAACGATTTAAATAATTCGAATATCTTAGGTTAGTGTTATATGAATTTTGACTATTGGATTCTCGGCTATGTCGATTTTCATATATACATTGGATTTCAATTAAATGGTATCGATAATCATATGGAAATATTTTCAATCATTTAGTATTTGGCATATACTTGACAACATTATTAATAATTGTATAAAAATTACTAATCGAAATTACTAATGAGGAAAATTCTTTAACTGTCTCCTGACAATTTCAATGATTTTGTTTTTACCTACAGATACTACATAGTGTTCTAAGAAAAAATGGGTCCCTATGAAGATCTGATTAAACTATCGAGTTCTGTTTTCTTCTAAGGAATGCTAAATTTTCAGAAAATTTGTATTTTCAAATTTTGTGCATATTGAAAACTCAACTAGACTAGTTTATGTACAAAAAAATTCAGAAATTTTGAAAAAAAGATCTCTTTGAGATACAAAAACTTTCAAAACGATGCCACTATCCATGGAAATGGGTCTATATCTTGAAAGTTCTATATCTCAAAGAAACTTTATTTAAAACTTGATGTTTTTAATGAAGGCTAGTCTAGTTGAATTTTATATATATACAAAGTTCCAGATCAAAATTTCAAAATCCACGATCTCTGAAAAAGAATTAGATAGATTAGTCAATACGAATAGATGTTTCAATTAGATAAAATATTGCACAATCATCAATATATTTCAAAACTATTGTACGACAGTTATGTAGTGTGCAAAAAATTTTAATAGTTTTTTTTCAAACGTAGTCTAACTGACGAGAGAATGTTTTCAACTTCTGGATTAGTATATATTAACAAATCGAATGACGGTATTTTGAAATGTGATTTTATCCACAAACTGGTCTATTTGTCAGTAGAATGCCCTGAATAATTTCAGTTCAAAATAAATATTTCAAGAAGGAAATATTCTACTGACAAACAGGCATGCCTATGAACAAAAGCTCATTTTGAAATACCATCATTTGATTTGTTGATATATGCCAAGCTAGAGACTAAAATTCAAGTAAAATACCTATAACTTTAAATAGAAGATTTTAAGGGGACTAATACTTTTGAAGTTTTTTACATCTCATCAGAGTCTACCTTATACACAGAGCTTGAATTCAAAGAAGATTGTTCAATTGAAAATTTTTCTTCGTGAGGTATCTGTTCGTGTAAAGTTTTAGATCAAAATTCGAAAACGAATGATTTGAAGGTTGAAAAAAGGGCCGAACAGAGATGCGATTGGTTCGATGCAAAAAATATATGAACTGATCTCATCTCTGAGGTAAAACGTTTTTTTAGCATTTCAAAAAGGTTCTCTCATAAACATTCGACTAGTAGTTACCATCATGGACTAACATGTGGTGTTGGACGTAGTCAATTTTCATTCAATTAAAATTGGTTAGAATAAAGAATATTTATATTGGTAATAGAACAAAAGATATTACGAAAATGAAATTTAGAATTTATTTTATTAAGTTTTGACAAAAGTTCATTGACTACATTTTAAAAAACTTTAACAGTGTCTTGCATTTTTTGTCGTTAATTTTTTGTTGTTGTCTGTAAAATAAAATTATCTATTTTTGAATGATATTTTAAAATATATCTTAATTTAAATTTATAAATAGTATTAATAATCGATATGAAAAATTTAACTAGTTTTGTGTTATTAAGAAACTCTCTTTCGTAAGAACTAATAGATGATCACAATGAAAATTATACGGCACAGCTTTATATGAACAGAACAATGTTCACACTGTTTTCTCTCTCTGAGAAGACTTTCCAATGTTTCATTTTCATAAAATTTAAGTTACATGGATGTGGTTGAGAGTTCATAACTCATTCACATCTACACCCTCGACAAGGAAACGATTTTAGGAGCTGAAATTTTCATCTTTTTCACATATCGTTTGAGACTACATTCAGCAAAACTTGATTGAAACTCGACGAGATCAATTGAACAGGATCCGTCGTGAGTGTGGGTTTTCACTTTATCTACAACCACACATGATATACCAAACATCTACATTTGTTCATGGTAATAAGATGAAAATGAATATTATTAATTATATACTACGATTAAACACATTTACATGTAATATTCATTTATTAATTTGCTTCAATAATCAAATTGATTTGAAATTAAATGAAGATATTCAAAAAACATTCAAACATTTTAAACAAAATCAAATTATCTCTTGTGTTGATTATTTTTCAAAGGTAAAGCAATGCCAATGTCGTATTTGTTCATATCCATATAAATTGAAACATTAGGATAATATTCTAGGTAGAACATTTAAATGTATTCGTGAAATAGTATTATATGATGAACGTTCATTTGAAAATGAGTTTTTTCTTCGAATTTCTCAATGATTTCCATTTTTGTGAAAATTAACTGTGATTAATCATAAAAATCAAAATAATGAACAATTTAGAATATTAATAAATAGCAAAAAATATTTCTCAATCATTAAATATTTTCATCTTACTAAACTTAATCTTTCTCAAGTGCTCATGAATTATATTGGACTATTTTATTAGATACGAAAATATGTTTATCTTCATATCGATTATCTACTAGCGAAAAGATTAATATGCAATTTTACAAGAAATACAACACGAAGTAGTCTTGGAAAACTTAATTACGTACTTTTTGCTTGAAAATTAATATCTTCTAAACATTTAAAGAACTATTTTTCTCTTACTAAACGATTATGATTATTATTAATTCATTAGTTTTAAATAAAACAGATTAAAGTTATTTTAGATTGATTTACATGGTGAATAATCGTTCAAAGTAGATATTAAAGGGTTTCTATTGTTACAAATGAAAGTGTGTTTATCTGTTTGTGCATAAAATTTAGAAAAGAAAATGTAAAATGAAAATACTATTCAAAAGCAACAGTAGATATCGAAAGAAAAGTCAAATATTATTGAATGTCATTATTGAAGGATTTACATGAGATTAAAAAAACACAAAGCACGTTGATTGGATGAAAACTATGGATAAAAAAAGATTCAAAAATCAATATATTTTTCATACATTATTATGTTTTGAGTCAATATACGTAGATAATTGAATATTTGAATGTAAAAACCAGTAGCATAGTTAAGAATTTTTCTGTGGAAAGAAATTTTTCGATTGAAACTCTTTTGAATAGTAAACAGTCATGTGCAGTTTAAAAAATAAACCAAAATTCAACTTTTCAAAAACTTTCTATGTTCTATAAACCGATATTTGTCAAAGAGAGATTTTCAACATAATTTATTTAACAGAAATCATGCTTGCGTTTGTAGTGCAACTTTACAAATATATTTTTTAAAACTTCGAAATGTATATTCATTGTTTATACTATTTGTTTTTGTAATGATACATTGTTATTAGAATTAAAAAAATCTTTGATCCTTATATTTAAGATCTAAAAATTAGATGAGTGTTGTTGTTAGAGATTCGAATTTACCTTACTGTTGTTATTAAGGAAATTGTTTGTAATAACAACAAAAACAAATCTTTATCATAGATTACTGATTTCTTCATCATAATGCTTTAAAAGAAAAACCACTAATATACTATTCGAAAGAGCAGACTTCAACGGTCATGCATATATAAAAATATTTTCAATCAAATTTTAAATGATCATCGAATAAGTGGAGTACAAATGATCGTGTTTGTTATTGGAATACTCAACTATTGATTATTGTAAAAATTCCATTATAAAGTGATGTAGCATAATCGTATAAAATAAGACAATTATCTGTTCATAAGATGTGCAGAACTAAACAGAGGGACAGATCATACAATCTAAATAAGTACGATTGCGGGTATGGGTAAGTGTAGGTATCACATCACATGTCCTCGTCTAAATTATGCCACATAACAGACGAAATTGAGACAGACGACTTTTTATATAAATGTACGACAAGACGAAGCTCAAAATAAATCTAGTTTCATAAGTTCGTAAGAGAACACGTTTCAAATGATTTCATATCAATGATGATTTAACAAACAAGAATATCTTTGATTTTTAGAAGATATGCTAAATTTACTTTGCAAATATATCAATATCAAGTTTTCTCCTATCAGACAAAGTCAGTTGATTAGACTAAGAAGTACTTGAACTTTTGAATCAGGACACATTGATAGAGTACCACGGACTATTTCTTTCATAATTCTACTTAACTGAAACATACATAAGTTTTTTTACCTTTTTGAACCACCTCATATCTGCTGGTATTTACGGCAAACATTAACAAACAAAACAATCATTCGCAAAATATATGAAATTTTATTTTCAGGAGGGTGTAGGTATGGGTGTAGTTCAGTTCTTCACCCCACACTCATCGCTGGAGAGACATCAATATCATTCTGATGCTTTGTATTTTTATCATTAGCACGACAAGTCAGACATAATATATGAAGTTATGATTGTGATATACAATAGAATAGAATCTTGTCAATAAATATCTGCATCATGGAGAAAGATCTTGATGAAATAAAAATCTGATATTTGAGAAATTTTGAATCTTGTTAAGCTATGTTCTAACTATTATCATCAATAAAACGAATGCATTCGGAACTGGATTGTATCATGTTAAATTTTAACTACTGCTTGAACCCAAGGAACGTATGAGAGTTAAAAAGATGCGAATGATTTTACAGCAATATCCCTTTGAGCTATTTCTACAGATTGTTGCACATTTTTCATTGCAACACATATATTGTCCAGTAGTCAAATATTATTTCTCGAAATTATGATAGCTGATTGCTAAATCAGGATGATTTCTTGATAGTTTGTTTTCACGGATTAATTGTCCTTTTTCAAAATATGTTAATGTCGTAGAATAATCTCTCTTTTCTCCATAATTTTCACCTATACTTGTATATTCCTTTTCACAACTCGAGAGGATTACGTTAAACATTCTCTTGAACATTTAATGCTTTTTGATGAAATACAAGTGCCATTTCATAATCTCTCATTAATCGATGAACATCACCAATATTACTGTATGCAACATCCCGATAGGGGTATCTTTCAGGTAGTGTTTGTTAACATATCACGAGACACTTTTCAAAATACTCAAGTGCTATTACGTGATTCTTCTTACTACGATGAGCTCTACCCAACCTACTGTAAGTATCAACAAAAGCTAAAACATTTTCCTGAAACGCTTTCTCCAGAATTTCGAACGCCTTTTCACTAGCCTTAACGGTTGCTGGATAGTCATCCATATCGTTATACACTGAACTGATGTTGTTATATGGCACTAGCAATAAGCAATGATTTCATGAAAGAGCTTTTCAAAGATTTCTTTTGATCTTAGGTAACAAGTCAATTTCCTTTTGCACTGCCACTGATGTTGTTGAAGGAAACAGCCAATGAGTGATGATCCGCAGGCAGCGCTTTATCCAAGATTCCATGTGACTTTTGATAAAACTCGAATGCTTTTGAGAAGTCACCCATAGTGTCATACACTCCAGCAATGCTGTTGTACGATTGAGCGAAGTCGGGATGGTTAGGAGGCAAAACTGATTCTCTTATTTTAAGTGCTTTTTCGTAAAATTCAATCGCTTTCGAGCACTCACCCATATTGCTATATAGTAGACCGATGTTGTTGTAAGACGTAGTCAATAATGGATGATTCGGAGGAAGAGCTTTTTCTAAGATTTCATGTGACTTTTCGTAAAACCCAAGAGCTTTTGAGTAGTCATCCGTTGCGTGATACACTGCACCGATGTTATTGTAGGACTGAGCCAAATCGGGATGACTAGAAGGTAACGCTGCTTCTCTTATTGTCAGTGCGTTTTCGTAAAATTCAAGTGCTTTTGAGTGATCACCCATGCCGTCATACACTCCACCGATGTTATTGTAGGATGGAGCCAAATCGAGTTGGTTAGGAAGCAAAACTGATTCTCTTATTTTAAGTGCTTTTTTGTAAAATTCAAGCACTTTCGAGAAGTCACCCATATTGCTATATAGTAGACCAATGTTGTTGTAAGACGTAGCCAATGACGGATGGTTCAGAGGCAGAGCTTTTTCGCAGATTTCCTGTGACTTTTCGTAAAATTCAAGAGCTGTCAAGTAGTCATCCATGGCGTTATACACTGCACCAATATTGTTGTAAGACTGAGCCAAATCAGGATGGTTAGGAAGCAAAGCTCTTCCTCTGATTTTAAGTGCTTTTTTGTAAAATTCAAGCGCTTTCGAGAAGTCACCCATATTGCTATTTAGTAAACCGATGTTGTTGTACGAAGTGCCAAATGACAAATGCTCCGATGGTAGAAATTTTTTCTTTAATTCAAGCTCTTTTTCGTAAAATTCAAGTGCTTTCGAATAGTCACCCATTGCATTATATACTGTACCGATGTTGTTGTAAGACTTAGCCATTGACGGATGAGTGGGAGGCAGAACTATTTTTCATCAGCTGCAATTATAATTGTAAATAAAGTCAGAATTTAACAATCAAAAAAAAAAACTTTCATATCAGTTAGTTAACTTTTCAAACATCAGTTAAATTTGGTTGTAATAGGCAAGATATTAAAAACTACGAATTATGTTAATTGAAAAATTTATTTAATATTGAAGTGGATGAATTTCAAATTTATTTAAAAGTGAAACAAATTGTTTTATTTAAAATCATTATGAAAAGAGAATTATTCGAAAAAATTTTTAAAGTATTTTTCAAAATTTTTTCAAACTGTTTAATTTTCAATTTCGAAGGATGATGATCATTTTTTATCAATTTTGAATCGTCATCCATGCTCTGAAATAAGAATCTACGGTTTTATAAAGTGCTAATAAGTTGTAATGATAATCAATAATTTCAAAATATTTAAATAAGATCATCTATTAAACAAATTATTCGAAAAGAGATTGCAAAAATTTGCTGAATTAATTATCTATAAGAAAACAATAATGATTCAAATGGATCTACAATCAATCATGATATAATTAAGGAGAATTTAACATCATGAAAAAAAAACAATTGAAAATTTACAACATGTTTCATATGATGAAACATTTATATGGAAAATTACAAATGTTCAAAAACAAATCGGTAAATAAAATGAATATTTATTGTAAAACTCAGATGTGGAATATCAATAGAAAGTAGTGAGAATGAAATAGACTCAAGTTAAAAGACAGAAACAGATATATTTCAATAAAGAAATAACTGCACTTTCAAGACCATTTGCGTAGCTAATCACTGGAATATATGACATATAAAAGTGATAAATACAATATAAGATGACATTCAAATGTATTCTTTTAACTATACTTTTTTTTTGCATTTAACAACTATTTGAAGCAGAATCTGAAGAATCAATATTAATTTCTTCTTCGCCATATTATTCATCTTTAAATGGTTAGAAAATGAGAGTTTGTCTATATTTAAATGGTGATTGAAATACTCATCGTATACATATATGTCACTCTTTTTTGTGCTCATGCGAGGCGAATACAATGCCATTCTCAAATTTCCGTTCAATTATAAATTAGCATTTTGTTTGTACGAACAAACACCTGCACAATGACATTTTATTGATTCATTTCGACCAGATATGAGATCGTGTAGCTTTTAGTGATCTCGATCGGATATGAATATAGTCAGTGGTATACCAAAATTTGTTCCATTAGTAATGATTAAACAAGAACATATTTCTTTTGCTTGAGATGATACAATGTTCATCAAGATTATGGTTGATTTTAATAATATACCGACGACATCATTGTTCTACACTTTGCGTCTCAATCCAGAATTACCAAAACAATCAAGCAAGAAGATGAACATAGATCTGAACAACAACTCTAAGAATTCGTTAAGATCAAAGAAATAAAACTGAACCACAGAGAAACTGCTCAATCGACTTTTATAATAGTATCAGAATTATTTACTCTTTCTGATCCAAGATTCATAATTTTTGTGGGAATCATAATTCAGAAAATATGAGCGGATCTTTGAAATGTCTGAAAATAAAGTTTGAGTGAATTTCAATGTGCAAGAAAAAATATTCAAAGTAGACGTAAAATGTGTTCTGAATATGACATGCATGATTCAGCGAAAAAAAAAAGCCGGAGTGCTGTAACTTTGAATTACGCGCACCTTACTTAATTTTATTTCTAATAGATAATTGGTGAATGAATCATGAATTTTAAATGAGTTTATTTTTCGTTAAAAAATAGATACATGCAATAGTTCAACATATTCTTATCAAAATATTTCTATTAACACTTTACTCTAATAATAATGATGTTTAATCGAAAAGAAGTACAATTGAAAAGTCAATCTGATTAATTGAGTTCTATGCCAAGTTCTTCTGAAAGTCGTTCAATATTTGATTCAATCTTCCAGAGATTATCATGTCCAGGAGGTAGACATTCCCTGTAGATAGCTAATGCTTGCTGATAGTAATCAAGTGCCAACATAGATTTATGAAGGTTTTCGTAAATTTCACCTATGTTTGATAAACTATTGCCAATACACTCATGATACGATGGTAGAAATTTGAGACGCATTAAAAAACAATTCTGTTCATAGATAAGAGAGAGTTCATGTTCGCCTTTGTTGCTTTGGACTTGTGACAAACACTCAAGTATGGTTGCAATAGAATGGTTCTTTGAAGATAGACTGGCTTCTCTAATTAATAAACATCTTTCCAAAGTTTCAATAGCAAGATCAAACTGGGACTTGCCATTGAAGTTAGCAGCGATCCAGTATAGACAATCAGCAATTTCAATATAATTATTGGGATAATATTCTTCGAATATGATTAATGCTTGTTGAGAAAAGTCAATAGATTCATCATATTTCGTTTGCTCAAATAGAGTATAACTGATGTTCCTGAGACTATTAGCAATTTCAAAACGATCACTAGATGAATTACTTTTCAGAAGTACTAATGCTTGTTTTTGATAGTCGAGAGCCTGATCATATTTCCATTGGTTCTTTAAAATTTGAGCTACGTTGTTCAGACAAGTAGTGTAATTCAAAAGATTGGATGAATGCTTCTTGTAAAGTGCCATTGCTCGACAGTAAAAATCGAGAGCTTCATCATATTTTCTTTGATTACTCAATATGTAACCAATAGTACCTAAACAATTAGCAACATTTTCATCTGCAGATGGATAATATTGCTCATAAATTGTCATTGCTCGTTGACAGAAGTCGAGGGCTTCCTCATCTTTTTCTTGTTGACGTAAAGTCAAACCGATATTCCTCAGACTATTAGCAATATCAAGAGGATTCGATGGGTAACATTTTTCGTACATTTTCAGCGCATGTTTATAGAACACGAGAACTTCATCATATTTTCGTTGTCCGTTCAGAGCATTCCCAATGTTGTTAACAACGGTAGCAATGTCAGCATAATCAAATGGATGAAATATCTTTCGAATAGCTAATGATCGTTGATAGAACTCAATAGCTTCATCATATTTCTGTTGACAGCATAGTACATTACCAATAGAGTTGAGACTCTTCGCGATGTCGACATCAAGAAATTTATGATGTTTTTCTTGAATACTCAAGGCTTTTTGATGAGCCTCAAGAGCATCATCATACTTCTGTTGTTTATATAGAGTGTTACCAATGAAGCTGAGAGTATAAGAGGTTTCGATGTGGTCTCTAGGATAAAAGTTCTCTTGTATTGAAAGTGCTTGTCGATAATAGTCAATTGCTACATCATACTTTCTTTCTTCATACAGAACATGTCCGATAAGATTGATGTTATTAGTGATGATGACACTTACTAATGAATAATATTTATCTTGAGTTTCTAATGGCTTTTGATCATATTCAATCGCTTTCTCAGACTCTTTTTGTTGACGAAATTTTCTGCCCATATGGAGAAGGGCTGTTGCAATGTTGATATGACCATTTGGATAATATTTGTCTTGTATTTTGAGTGCACGTTCATAAAACTTCAGGGTTTTATCAAACTTTCCCCGTTTCATGAGAAGTTTACCGATGTAATCAAGAGTATTAGCAATATCATGCTGACAAGATGAGCAATGTTTTTCTTGTATTGCGAGTGCTCTTCGATGATAATCAAGAGCTTCATCATATTTCTCTTGCTTGAATAATATAAGCCCAATCTTATTCGTATAAAAAGCAATGGTCGAATAATCAGATGGACTATGGTTTTTAACAGCTGCTAATGCTCGTCGAAGACAATCAACAGCTTCATTATACTTCCCCTGCTTATCTAATATGATGCTAATGTTGTTAAGACTCAAGGTCATTGAGGCATTACCTGCCGGAAAGTAGCACTCTTGCATCATTAGCGCTCGTTGACAATAGTAAAGAGCTTCATTATATTTTACTTGACAAAGTAGTACATCAGAGATATAATTGAGAGTGTTAGCAATATTTGCATAATAAGATGGATAATATTTCTCTTGAAGTGCTAGGGCTTGTCGATGAAAATCAAGAGCTAAGTCATACTTCCTTTGTTTCTTTTGTATATACCCAATGTTGTTTAGAGCATTAACAATGTAGTCATGACCAGGAAAATAATATTTTTGTAAAATGTTCAGCGCTTGTTTATAAAATATCATCGCCTCACCATATTTCTTTTGACCGCAGTGAACATGCCCTATTCCGAAGAGACTATCAGCTATATCAACATGCCCAAATGGATAATGCTTTTGTTGCATTGCCAATGCTCCTTCGTAAACCTTCAGAGCTTTTTCATGCTTACCTTTGCGATAGAGAATGTTACCAATTTGGTTGAGGGTAGAGGCGATGTATACATGACCATTCGGATAATATTTTGTATAAATTAACATTGCGCGTTTACAGAAATCAAGGGCTTCATTATACTTTTTTTGGTGAAGAAAAACGCTACCGATGTGCATAAGAGTAACGGCGACATCGATATGAGGAGATTGATAATATTCTTCAAGTAAAGCCAATGATTGTTTATGAAAGATAAGTGCTTCGTCATACTTGATTTGCCGAAAGAGGATTTTACCGAAGCTACGCAGACTTGTAGCAATAGGCACATGATCATTCAAGTGAATCTCTCTCATTAATAACCAATCGGTTTCCTGTAAGTTTCGACATATTTGTTGTAAATAATTATTGTTTGAGTGTTCATGAACAAGCTCCATTCTGTTTGCTACGCATTTCGAGCGGAACCAACGAAAAACTCCTAGGAAATGTTTAGTCCAAAACCATCTGAAGGATGATTGAAAGAATCCACCGAACTTAAATAAAACCAACCAAAACGATGCATGAGCACGACTTAGTAAAGTGCTGTGTTGATGAATCGGTAGACAAGGTCTATCAACCTTGGTAGAGGAATAATTTTCTTTTCTCAGTGTAAATGCCCGTTCATAATAATTAAGAGCTTCCTCGTATTTTCCTTCTAGATACAGAATCTCACCAATATTGAACAGTATATTAGCTGAATCCTTGATATGTGCTAGTTTTGCATTCATTATCCGTTCATAAGCGCGATCATAATATTTTCGCGCTTCTCTCCATTCTCCTTTCCATTGAAGAACTTCACCCAGACTATATTCAATCTTTGCGAGATCTTCATTATAGCGATTCGAATTGTTCAATAAATATTCAAAGAAATGTTGTGATTGTTCCCATTGACCCATATCACACATCAATCGTCCAAATAGAATTTCGATACTTAGATTTTTCATGTGACGATGTGAGTCTATGATATATTTTTCTTTGATAAGTTTACCTTCATTTGATGCACTCATTTCAATCAACCATATGTCTTCCTTCATTTTCACACTGTCCAATCGATAAGTGACATTTGAATTGAAGAGAATTTCTTCTTGTTCTTCATATCGAATTTCATTGAATTGGATAATGTCAGCAACAATGACACTATTGCTCAGATATTGTAGATTACATTGAATTTCGAGAAGAACAGGAATGAGATCTGGTTGTTTCGAAGGTTTCATTGCTTGATTCAATGCAGTTGAACGAAGAATAGTTGTTGTGAAAAATCCATTGATTGAAACAAGTTTACCTTTGTTCTCTTTGAATTTTTCTACTTGATCACTTGTCAATTTCATTCCTCGATACGTGAATAGTATTTCTTTACCAGACTGAACCATGTTTTGATGTTCTCGAACGAAAATTTTTGTTAGATCTTTCATAAAATACCGGAATGTGTACAGTTGATCGAAATCTTTAGTTCTCAATGCTTTTTTAATAATCTTGGAAAGAAATGATTTTTTTGAATACCATTGAAGAGCTTTTTCTGATCGATATTCATTTTCAAACTTCTCAATCACTTCTAATTCTTTGGTATTATCTCGATAATAGGAACGGCAAGCATTGATCATTCCTTGTTTAGCTTCTTTATCGTAGGTTAATTGAAATAGAACATCATGATAAAATTGAAACCAAAGAAGATCAGCAGTGTGTTTTGATAGATCTTTTGTTAAATTTTCATCTTGATCGAAGAAGCTGAATGTTAGCAAATGTTGATCGAGAAAATCGACTTGTTCTCGAATTGATAAACACAATAAATTGAGTTGATCATAAATACCAATAAGTTTGGAATGTTGAAAAACTGAATATTCATTATCGGCCTTGTCCCAATTGAAAACAAAGATGCTATCAATTTGATGTAGACTTGCAATATGAAGTAATATTTGTGATGCATCATAAATTGAAGAGACGAAAATAATTTTTTCATTATAAATCGATCGAATGAAGGTAATGCAAGATTGCAGTTCAGTATGAAATACAACATAATCATTGATTTGACTTAATTGTTTCTTTATTTGTTCTGCAAGATTACTGGAATAAATTTTGGAATCGAACCAAATTAGAGTGATGTCCTCTTTGTTGGTAGTTCTGTCCATTATTTTCGACAAACTTTTTCAGGATAATAAAATGTATTGCAATGGATGGTGAAAGCAGTAAGGTAACTGTTTAATTGTAATGCTAAATAGTCAGTCGAATAAGAAAAAAATCGACTTAAAATCTTGCAATAATGAAAAAAAAAATACAGTGAATTTTCACGACACAGAAAAAATGTGATTATCAAAAAGGAATCTGGCAGAGAAATAATTGGTGAAATTCAGTTGCAAGAAACTAATTGCTCCTGACCTTTCAAGAAAGACCTGGATGATCATTCGTTTTACAATACATGCCACGAGAAAAAGAAAAAAGTCAGTATATTGGACAATTATTGCTAGCACATCTCCCTACAATGTCAAAATGTACAGAATTCGGATCGCAAAAAAAAACATCGATGTTAGCTCGTGTGAGAATAAGTAAGCAAAGAAGAAAGAAGAAATTACTGTAGTATCTTCACATAACTTCACTTACCTCATAATATGAGATGAATAGAACGAGTAATAATATTTATATGTGCGTATTAATCAACTATATGACACATGCATCACTGAGAAGAAATGACTGGTTTTTGCTAACTGCAACGTGTTTATGTGTACAAACGTAATATATTTTTTCTTTCAGCGTGAATAGATTTTACTATAGGCATGCATCATGCTATTGATTCTGTTCTGTTCTCGTACAATATCGATCCTCTCTTCTTCTATTACTCATTTTCCACCATTATGCGTATCTTAGTTTCCTTCAAACATATCACGATGTATCTTCGCGAATAAGATTTTTTTTTCTAAAATTTTTAAAACGCTGAAATGTTATAAATTTGGGTAGCCAATCAGATAGGAGATGAGTATAGAAACTTATCATATGTAAAACCTTGAAATATTTCAATCTGATTTCAATGTTTTAATAATTTATTTTGAGAAATTAAAGCAAACAATTTGGTAACTACAGTAATATGCTTTTTTTCTCATTGAATACAAGCATTGACATTTGAAATGAGTCGTGTTCATGTTTGATAAATATTGGTCGTGTTACATATCAACAAAATGATTTTGTTTCACATGATTCAATCAATCTATCTAGCTTGATAATCAAATTAATTGATTGTGTTTGGCATATGATCAACGTTTGATGTTAATCATTAACCCTTAAAAGCCGAAAGGGCTTATCGTCACAGATTGAAACAACTGACCATGAAAATAGAAGTTTTGGGACTTCAATAAAAATTATCTATAGTAAAAAAAAAAAAAAAAGAAAAACTTCTTTTTTCTTACGGAGATATAGAATGTCGCTTGGAAGGGACATTCGGTGTTAGCGGTCCAAGTTTCTCACTTTTCTGAATATAGATATGAGCAAAGTGTTTTCAATAGTTTAAAAAAAAAACTCAGGATACATATTTTCAATAAGAAATATTCATGTCTATATTAAAGTCATTTATGAGCCAGTAAGCTGTCTTCTGTTCATGAATAAAAGGATTTTTTAGTTCAACAATCAGTTCGTATCATTTGTTAAAATATTTTAGTATTAGTTAAACCTTTACAACTTTACGTGTCTCGATTGAGTTATCATGAAAATGAAGTATTAATAACAAGTACATGATCAACTATATAAAAAAAACTGATTCTGGAGTGTAATATAACAGAAGAAAATGAATTTGCGATGCATTTTGGGATATTTCAGATTCAAAATTATTTGATAATTTAATTCACCATCATAATATGGTAGATCAGATTTTAATACTTTGTCTGACTACAATTTATGTTGTCTTATCTTCGTTATATCAGCTTCATTCCCAACACTTGCAGATGGTAGATTCGATTCATGACGCACACTATCTCCCTCAATATCATTTATATCTGAATTGATTGAATAACGTACATCGTCATCTGAATCATCCTTTTCTATTACTTGTCACATAATCGGATTATTTTTCCAATATGAAACAGTGGAGAGTCAGTGAGGGCTGAGTCGTCCTTGTGAAATCTCTGAAGCATCTAGTTTATTCTCCAGGGAATGGAGCTCAGTTCTTCCTTAAAGAGGGTATGGGTGTGGGTGTTAATCTTGTCTTCATCCACACCCATCTGTTTTCTAATTCTCGTATTCTTATTTCTGTCTTGATAATAACTCTTAAAGAAGTCGAAACGTCGATATTAATATATTTTTCTTTACAATAAATAAATAAAATTTTACAAAATATATTTAAAGCTGCTGTTAAATCAATAATCTTCATGCTATTGTTGGAGTTTTTAGGATATCGAATCAAAATCCTTTTCTTTCTAAGAAAAAAATGTAAGAATTTAAAGAAAAGGGTTTCGACAGACATTTCATTCCTATATGCTCTCTCAAACAAAATAAATTGAATATATACAATGAAGCCCGAGAAAAAATTTAGGAGACTAAATTACTTGCTAGACCGTTGTTTGATGCGTATCTCCCAAGAATCTCATGGCATCAGACTGAAAATTTTAGCATAACCTCTCCACTACAGCCTCAATATATCATGAAAACTTCATGCGGTTCGAATATATGTGATCGGAAATCATTTATGAAAGGGGGGGGGGTGCATTAGCAGTTAAGTGACCCGATAATCGTTAATATTAACGCATTGAGGAATGCCTGTTGTCCATTTCGTTATTAATATTAATCATGAGATAAAGCTATTTAAGATTTACATTAATTAAGTTATGGCAAACAAATGGTTCAGCTATAATAGTAGGTTTCTTTCAGCGAAATGTTAATGCGTTCGCAGATTCAGTGATGAATGAGATGTGATTGTTACGTAATTGAAGGAGTTTTTATGGATTCAGCCATAGCCATTGTATAGGAAAGTATTACATCTAAACACAATACCGTAATTGCTAATGTCGATTGTAGAGTGAATATGAACAGATTAACAGAAGAACCAAGTCAGAGCAGTTGACTTTCTAATTCATCGACATCTGTTCGGTAGTATAAATGATAAAAGAAAAAAGATTGGTCTAATGCGATACATCTATCAGATATACTATAAATCTTTTCGATTAAGAAAATTCAGTACTGCCCCAGGCCTAAGATTTGAGAACTCTTTCAAGTTCTAAAAACATAGCTAAAAGCGCTAAATTGCTGGAGGAACTGAGAACAAATCCTCAAACACCTCACACATCATCATCAGTTCCCCGTCTATCCCTTGGGAGGAGCTAACGTCCAATAAGCATGACGCTAGTTGACAACTTCAATTACTTCTCAAGTCTTCAGATTCTCTCAAGGAGTTGAAATCCCGATCATTTCAAGAAGGTTAGCCGAATAAATAGATCGTATATAGAGTCAATACTCCTCAAGGGAATTGACTTCCCGATTAAACATCATCACTCCAACTACATGACAAGAATCCTAACAAATACTATCACTTGAACAGGAAACATCTTCACTAAATGAGGCATTGTAACAATTCTGCTGAAAGTACCTATGTATTGAGGTAGATACCTAGAAGGAGTCCGCGCTCAGTTCCTCGACGAATTTAAGACATTATGGGCTGTGCATGAGGTATGCAGAGTGTTATGGATATTGAAAAATGCCGGGAAATTAGGAATTAAAAAATTTCTCCTGATAGTACCTTCTTCGATTCGCAGAAACTGTCAGTAGGTCTGTTGTAATTTGTTCATATGTGGAGTTACTCGTTCAGTGCAACATGAGTAACTGTCGGTTTTATCTACTTCATATTAGATGAAACAAGAAATCTACTAGTTTCATACGGTAACTGAGCAATTTCGTCAAATTCCTTTGCTATTTCTAATAATAATTCTTTGGATCAAAACTTCCTAACCAATTATCAATACTAAAAATAATTAATGCATATCTCTCATGACTCTGGCCAACTAGCTTTCATTCGTTTCGAATCTAGAGGAACTGGGTGTTTATTTCATCTTGGTAATTATATCTATTCATCAGTACTATCAGCAGAATTATTATAATGCTTCAGTCCCTGAAGTGGTTTTCCCTATTCGAGTAAGAGTTTTTTTGTTAGGATCCTTGTAATCTGGTTGCCATAGTGCTGTGTAGTCGCTATGTATATTTCTTTGAGGAGTTTCGACTATCAGCACTGACTATCCATTCAGTTTCTTTTGTGAGCGACTATCGGATCATTCTATGCATGGATTCGACGAATTGAGAAGGACTTGAAGTTGGAAACTAGTGTCATGTTCATTCGGCATCAATTTCTCTCAAGATATTGATGGTGGAACTGAGGAAGATATGAGAAGTGTTTGTGAGTCAATTATCAGTTATTCGAGACTTTTTGTGCTTTAAGCTGTTTTTTTAGGATGTAGAAAAATTCCTGAACTTCAGTTATCCCTCGGGAAACTACTAATATTTTTCCAAAGAAACCATTGAAATTCCTAAACCTTAATAAGATTTCATCCATTACTACGCCACCTTATAAAGTATCGTAAATGTCTACGAAACCTTCATAATTGCCTATTGTACCTCTTCTCTTTATGTGTCGAGGCCAACATAAAGATCAAAATACACAATGAGTGTATCTCGTGTATCTGCATTTATGGTAGAAATTTGAATTGTAAAAAAATGTAAATATATGATATCTACTTTCTGATAACAATTCAGAATCATATATACAAATAACAGTCAGATATGCTCTATTGTGATAAAAATTTTGCGTTTCACCAAGGAGTAAATACCTGGTATCTGCTTTCTGATAACGATTCAGAATCCACAGGGCAAGTAAATATTATATATACACGTGGCTGATGAAAATTTTGACATTCCCAAAGGAGTAGATATCTGATAGTTGCTTTTCTGGTAATAATTCTAAAGTGGCATAGAAGTAAATATCTGATTTCTTCTTCAAAAGTCAGATATTCAGTGAAAACTGATAATACTTTGAGATTTATTATGACCTTGAATTATTTCTCATGTTTCTTATGCTATATTTATACGATGATTATATAGGTTCTTATAAATATGACTAGCTATAATAGCAGTGTGATTTTACATTCTACAACTGGAAAAAATTTAACTGTTTACATATGTGTTCATCTGGTAATGCCATGTGCAGTTGCTATTGGTATTATTGGCAATCTATTATCTATATTAGTGTTTACACGTCGCGAAATGATTAAATTTTGTGTATGCATATTGACCATTATTCTTGCAGTTAGCGATATTCTTTTGTTAGCTACTTCATTATTTAATATAATCTTGCCGGATTTTTTCGGTCGTTCATTGGCAAATGAATCAATATTTTGGTGGTATGTAATGAAAATAATATGCTTCGCTTGTATCAATGGTTAATTAGTGTAGATAAGAAAAGAGGCATGATTGGCTTTTTTTTAATTATTTTGTGGCAAACTTTTATATCCTTATGGAGAAGACAACATAATAGAAATCTGTGCTATAAGTCAAAATGACCGAATATTTCTCATGCTTGTTTGTTTTCTTCACAATAACCTTTGTAAAACCATTGGGAAGGAAAAATATTTTTTTTCGGTTCATAAAGACAAATACTTGAGATATTTTCCAAAACCAAGAAGTGTTACTTAAGTCAACAATTAATTGTTCGTTCAAATTTTATTTACTTGAAACCTTATAAAAAATAGAATATTTATTATTTTATGCTTTAGCCATTTTCATGGCTATTTCGATATCCTATTTTCTGCAATAAGTGGTTACTCCGTTGTATTTATATGCGTTGAAAGATGGCTTTCTGTATGGAAATCATTTAAAAAAACACAATATGTTACATTTAAAACAACATTAATAACTGTTATCATATATATATCATTATCGGTATTTGGTTCTTTATGGTTTCCGTTTACATTAAAATATAACTCAGATCAACCGAAATCCGACGAAAAATGCAAACTATCACGACCAATGATATATAAAATATTTGAAACAATATCCATTATATTTACTTATGTTGGTAAGAACAAGATAAAATGTTAATTTAAATTAAATTTTTTGTTTATTTAGTATCTTTCTTTTTTCTTGTCATACTTGATATTCTTATTGTCCATCGTTTACATACTCGTCAAAGTACATCAATAAACCGTGCAATAGTCCAAACTAATGATGCAGTTACTCATGATGCATCACCAGGAACATCATCAACACGTAAAAGAATGCAAAAACAACAAAATATTGATCGAAATATGACATTTATGTTAATAACTGTTGCTATTGTCTTTATGGTTATGAGATTTCCGTGGCAGCAAGAGAAAATTTCGACGAAAGAAACAAAATTTTGTCTTTTTTTTTCAAATAGAATCTATGGGTTGTACATGCAAATTCATCGAATGACTACACCAAACATAACTTTATTTATATTAACACAAACATTTCGTTATTTAAATTGTTGCTGTAACTTTTTTCTTTATTCAGCTACATCAGCATTATTTCGTCACGAATTATGTGAAATATTTCAATGGACACATTCACTTCAATCAAATCATAAACCTATAAATATAAAAGATGATCATACAACAAGACCATTACTAAATCTCCCATTTTCTGCTATTGATAAAGATAATACTCCATTGGAACATGAAAATCTTTTGTCCTCAACAATTACAACAGCACAGACATCATCATTAAAAACATCTGATGGACAATTTAACATTCCTGATTCAACGAATGGGAGTATGCCTTCACATAAAACATAGTTTCTTTTATTTATTGATGTTTTCTATTTTGCATTTATTCATTAAAACAAATATATATACAAAAAAATTCGTCTCAACGAAAAGAAAGAATCATTTATTTTCTAAACAAAAAGAAATTACTTCTTGAGACGATAAAAACCAATTTCCTGAGATATTTTATGCAAATAGTAAAGTCTCAATTAGCTATGTGCTTTGATCANCTAAAATTTCTCTCACAAGAAATCATCTAGAACAGATACAGGAGAAGTAGAAAACAGATGGCTAGTTTTACGTGTTTTTTATTTAACATCAGTCCAAAATAAAAAAACAATTTCACTTCTCTATGAGCTACTGTGAAATAGTTTATGTAGAAGCCGCCACTTCCTAGCTGAAATTCTGGATTTGCCACTGCTGTTTCAAGGATACTTTTTCCTTCACGAATTGGTTGTTTTCTTGGAGAAGAATTTTTAAAAATACTTAATGAATCACGTCAGATATCTTAGGTCCAGATTTGAATACTTTTGGACCGATTCGCCCACGGAACGGTTCCAACAAAATCCTTCACATCCAGAGTGCCATTTTACGAGCTCTATCCAACGGCGAAAACTGTACCTTAATAGCCGAATCCATTACCGAGCTATACGTCTCACAATGCTGAGTCGCAGCACTGTGACGACATCTACTATGAATATATCTCAATTAATTGAGTCGATTCGTCCTACAGAAAGTTCCAACAAATCTAAATACGTCTTCAAGTGCAATTCCAACAACTCTGTCCCATGGCGAAAACTGCATCTCGATACATTCAATTGTTTCCCAGATATTGTCAAGATACAGATTCGAATTGTCCCGTCAAAGCAATATTTCTTGAGCCGATTTGACTAACAAAGTGTTCCAACTAATTTAAAATATGTCCCAAATGTAATTTGATGAGCTTTATCCATTCGTAAGAATCCTGCCCGTCATACAATGCTTCTATCCTGAATGATTACAGATTTTCATAGGCGAATCCACCCAAGAATAGGGGTGGCACTTTAAACTTTAATACTTTTTTAAAATGTTTTTAAACTTAAAGTGCCACCCCTACCCAAGAAATATGCCACGAGTGAACCCAAGGAGCTTGCAAATTCGTGATAAATCCGGATAGAAGCATTGTATGATTTACGAATTTTTACGAATGGATCAAACCCATCAAATTACTTTTGGGATATATTTTAGATTGGTTGAAACACTTTGATAGACCAATCGGCTCAAGAAGTGTTGCTTTGACATAGCTTTTCGAACCGGAATGTGACAATATCAGGAGAACAATTGAATATATCGAGATGCAGTTTTCACCATGAGATAGAACTGTGGGGACAATCTGTGGGACGAATCAACTCAGCTAATTGGTATATATTCGCAGTAGATGTCGTCACAGTCCTACGGCTTACGAGGGAACACATACAACTGATCAAACGCTATTTAACTTTTAGTAATTCCAATCTGTAGAGCTTATTGAGTTATTAACAGATATAATAATCATTCGTGCCCATAGTGGGTTTAAGAATGAATTTTCCATAACTAGAGTTTATATTAAATATCATAAGAGGTCAAAGGTCAAATAGGGCCATAAGCAGAAAGCCTCAAGGCTATTATATGAAGGAACCCATAGGCCCTCAAGGGCTATTATATCCAGGTATCCATAAGCCCTGAAGAGCTGTTATATGAGGATATTCATAGGTCCTTAAGAGCTATTATATGGAGGTACCCATAGGCCCGGTACCTTTATATAATAGCTCTTGAGGACCTATGGGTACCTCCCTATAATAGCTTGTAAGGACCTATGAATACCCTCATATAACAGCTCTTCAGGGCTTATGGATACCTGGATATAATAGCCCTTGAGGGCCTATGGGTTCCTTCATATAATAACCATGAGGCTTTCCGCTTATGGCCCTAGTTGATCTTTAGCCTTGGACTTCCTATGATATTTAATATAAACTTTAGTTATGGAAAATTCATTCTTAAACTCACTATGGGCACGAATGATTATTATATTTGTTAATAACTCAATAAGCTCTACAGATTGGAATTACTAAAAGTTAAATAGCGTTTGATCAGTGGTATGTGTTCCCTCGTTAGCATGCTGAGACGTTTAGCTCGATAAAGAATTATGCTATTGAGATGCAGTTTTCACTGTTCGATAGAGTTCGTAAAATGGTACTTGAGCCTTCAAGGGTTTTGTTGGAACAAGTTTCTAGACGAATTGGCCCCGAAAATTCCAGGTGGAATGACCGTTTTTGTTGGATTTTTGGCTGTGTCTGGAGAATGGTTGTATGTTTGGAGACGTGGTTTTTACCACTCGATAGAGCTCATTGAACGGCACTTAGAACTTGAAGGATTTTGTTGGAACAAGTTCCTTGACGAATCGGGCCTAGAATTGCATTTATCGGAATTTGTTGCAATGGAAGAAAAAATGATATATTTGTTATACCTCGGCTGTTATAATATGTATCGACGAGCAGTTTTCACCGTTCAATGCAGCTTATCGAGTTCTAACTGGAATAGCAGATAGCCTTGTTAGAACAGTTTCCTGAGAGAATCGCACAAATAATACTCGAATCTGGACCTAATATATCCTATGTTAGTCAAGCATGACTACTAAAAACAAATTTGTGACCAGAGCGTAGCATGTCTACTTCTCATACGAAAGTCCATAACTGTTGTATGCCGTTTATCCTAGCCTTATTTCAACGAATAATAACTCTTTGAGTGATCTACTGTTTTCCCCGACTTCATCTCTGTCTGTGAGCCTTCACTTCTCTTTCTAATGCTCAAATTTCATGATTCTCCTCATCCTACTCTCAATGAAAATATATTTCTTTGAGTCTCTCTTGATAGCTTCACCACATTATTCCGTTCACTCTCTTCATGTCTCCCCTTCTCAATCTTCATGCCTCTCTCATTCCACAGCTTTCTCTCGTGCGGCTATCGGGATTTACTTTTTTTAAATTATTTTGTCTGATGAACTTCTTAACGTGCTGCAAATTTATTAGCACTTATCACCTTTGATAATACTTAAGTACGCCTACATCTACGTCCATCACATATATGAATTGAGAGATCCTATTAGATTTATTTCAAAATGCATACGCATCTGTCGGGAAATCTGAGTAAAAATCGAAACAATAATTTTTAATAGGCGCCGTTCTCATCAGCTCGCCTTTGAAAGCTATTTTATTTCGCACCGTCTCAGTCTTTCCTACTACCCTACTTCCTCATAGTTTCAGCTTATCTTCCATTTATTTTTTGAGAGCAATCAATTTACCTTAGCCATATTACTCATTTTCATAATATTATATTTCCATCGATGTTTCTATATCTCTCTCGCTTTACCTTCCACTCATTTATTAATGTTCCTCTCTCACTCTCCCTATCACCACCATCACTTTCTACTTCATCATTATATTTCTCGTTCTCACTAGTTTACTCAGAATTTATATTACATCCTGTTCCATCTTCTAGAAAAAAACCCGCCGTATTTTATACGTTTCCTCTTTTACTCCACTTCAGAAACACTTAAAAATTGTTCTGTGAACAAGAATAAGGTGTTTCCGAAGGTGTTCGAACCAATTCATTTATAAGAGAAACTAATTTCGAGGAGCTCTCGACTGCACCGAAAAACAGAGCTATACGAAGACCTGAGGACTTCGTTTCTTTTAGACAATACAAGCTTACTTCCACCACGTATGTCTCGCTGTTGCCGTCTCCTTAATTAATTATACGTCTATAGGTGCCCGACAATAAACATGAGATGTCTCGTTTACAATAAAATATTGAAATTTATTCTCAACACAAAAATAAAACAATATTAGACAAAAAACATGACTTTGTTCACGAAAAATTAGTGCGAGCAGACTATTGCCACCCTAATCCCATAAGCCATCTTCATTACAGCGTCAAACCACAGAATGAGCAGATGCGCCCCCAAAAACCCCATTTCCGCCTAATGACCAGGCCCTCCTTCAACTTTTCAACGCATCATTCGATCGAGCTCGAAACTCAGCATCTACAACGGTCAGTTAGAATCTTCACACAGGTTTAGACCCCAATCGGGCTTAAAACTACAAACAAAGTTTGGTGAAACACCCAGCATTTTAAGAAGTCGCACATTCTTGCCCAACGACTCCAACTTTTAAACGCTCCATTCGATGCAGCTCAAAATTCTATATCGGAGACAACTGGTTATAAACTCGACATGGTTTCAGAAGGGAATCCGGGTTGGAAATACGACCAGAATCTAGTGAAACATCCAGTATTTACGACCCTCCCCCCCAACATTTCTAGACTGTTCACTACGACTTTAAAAGGTACCATTCGGTAGAGCTCGAGATTCTGCACCTAACACAACTAGTTAGAAACTCAATACAGGTTCATAGGCGAATCCGGACTGAAAATAAAATTATAGGATTTTAAGTGCATCGGAAGAATCAGTCCTGTGAGGAGAAAGCTTAGCTTTTCCTCGATGATCCGTAGGAAAAATGGCAGCATTCGATAGAGAATAAAATGCTGCACCTGGCAGAAGTGTTTAGAGATCCAACATAAAATCAGGAACGAATTGGGTGCTAACTTCAGCTTCGTTTTCTTTTGCACACACTTAGGGCTACAAATGAGATTTGTCTTAATCATATAAAAGTCGTCTGTCAAGCATTCAGGTACGAAGAAAAGTCTTTCTTGTCTTACCATGTTCATATCGTCTATCAGAAATATTTCGGAAAGATTTTGTCGATAGAAGAGTTGTTTTTCATAATGAAAAATTATTTTTCATCTGATGTTTAAATTGAGTGAGAAGAAAAAAACAATGATTCTAATCGTGAAGGATGAAAGATAATTTTTGTTTAGGACGCTTACCTTTATCTATTTATATTGGACAAGGACATGTTTGCTTTCAAATAGAAATGCAAATGATTTACCTCTTTTGTGCGCAAACCGAATCAAAAGCGTGTCTTTTTCTTTTTCTTTCTACCTATATATGCAAA